TTCCACCTGCTGCAGATGAACGCCTCGGCCGCGCAGCACGCGGAGCCGAAGGGAAGGGCAACGGCGACCACGGTCTAGATCGACGGCACGTGAGAGTGACCCTTCGCGGGAGTCACCTCGGGTGCGGGCCCACTGTTCCCATCCCCCCGATTGCCGAACCCGATGCGGTAGTAGCGTCCTGTGCGCTTGTGTTTGGCTCCCCCGTGGCCCCCCCAAAAGCCGCGCACCACCAAGGGTCACTCTGACCCATTGTCGCTCCTGCGTGTAGCCGACTAGAGCAAACCTTGGGAGATCCGGGCGTTGCTCCTCTGTCACACCGTGGGTCCTCGCCCGGTTTTTGTGCCCACCAGGGCCCTCACAGATCGATCCACCTCGAGACATGCAGCAGAAATATGTGGGCTAAGGCGCCGGTTGTGATTTCTCACGATGTTACACGTTTCCGGGACGTCGGGTCTCAGGGAACGCGGAAACTTCAGTATCGATCGTGGTCACCGTCCGTCTGGGTTACCGTCGGTTCGTGGATCTTCCTCGCGCATCGGCGACCGCCAGCATGGACCATGACCAAGATCGGCGTCGACAAGATCCCGCGACATCTCGGTCATGTCGAAGAATGAAAGAGGCATAAACACTGATTGTCGGAGTTCCGCGCAATTGTCTTGGATCGGCGCTGGGCCCCCCTGGCGGCGCCTCTGGTGTTTCCCCTGGCGCGCCCTGCGCGCCTGTGAGGGAGGGTCTGGCGCCGATCCCTGAAATCCGCGCGGACCTCTAACAGTCTGTGTTTGTGCAGCGAGTTCGCTCCTCGGTCGTGGCCGCCGTGGTCCTTCCCTCGAGGAGTCCCTTCGGTACTCCGGGCGCGAGCGCGTGGAGAGCGCCAGGCAGGAACAGGCGGCCGGTCGGGGCTGGGACTGGGATCAATCGCTGGTGAGCGTTCTGGAGGGTTGCGACATGTGGGCGCGCCTGTGGTCTGCATGTTTCCTAGGGTGGACTGTGATCAGACACTCTTGTCAGATCAGTGCGTGCGCACCGCATTGTACTACATGCCAAGGATGAGGGCAGGGGAAGTCAGCTGAGCTGGCATGATGTTAACAATGAACTCTTGCAAGCGACCATCTGCCACGCTCTCAGAGCCTTCCGAGGCGCTCTCGATCGACCGCGGCGACCGATGCCTCCTCCAGAGCCGCCGGATCTCAGATCTCCGCGGTGCGTTCCGGTCCTAGTTTTAAGTCGGGTCTGTCCCCCTACAGGGGGATTTTGGCCGAAAAAATTCAGATACCCCAGAAATACCCCCAGAATGCTAAAGCATAGTCCAGAAACAGTCCCCATCTGATTTTTTCCATATTTTGGAACATCCCCCCTGGAGAGGGACAGGCCCGACTTCACCCTAGCTTGCCCTGGTCCTGGCCTCGTTTGAGGCGGAGCTCTGGCGCGAGGCGCTCGCCGAGGTGCACGGGAAGGTGCTGATGGAGCTGGGGCTCCCAGGGGCAGCAACGCCAGGGGGGGGCGGCAGGGGCCCGAGCGCCCACACCCCGCCCAGGAAATCTTTGGATTCGCTACCGGGATTTTATCGCCGATCTTTCGGCGAAGTATCGCTAAGTCGGGCCTGTCCCTCTGCAGGGGAACTCTTCAACAATTGTCAAACAATAGCCTGGGGATTATTTTTGGAGCATTTGGTTGACCATTTTGGAGCATGTGTTGAGGATTTTTTTTATTTTTCGTCCAGCGTCCCCCATGCAGGGGGACGCGCCCGACTTCAACGCAGTATCGCTGGTTCCAGCTCGATGACTTCGGATTGTGAAGGCCTGACGGCCAGTGCCGCCGACGACAACGACGACAACGACAACGACGAGCCGATGACCCTGCCACAGGCTCGGGACATGGGGCGGGCGGTGGAGGGAGGAGGAGAAGGAGGAGGACGAGGAGGAGGAGGCGGAGAAGGAGGAGGCGGGGCGGGTGGGATTCGGGAGGGGTATTGGTATGGGGGAGAAGATTGAGGGGGAAAAGGGTAAGTCTGGTAGTAGGAGGAGAAGGTCTGAGTAGGAGGAGGAGGAGGAGGAGGAGGAGGAGAGGGGGAGGGAACCGTGTGTGGGGTCCAATTTCCAGGGGAGGGCCGAGCCAGCCCCGCCGCCCTGTCTTTGCCCCTCAGGTTCGTGGACCTCGACCCCGGGCGCTGCTGGGAGGGCCGGGCGGACGGCCTCGGCTTCGCCCGCTGCTGCAGCGTCGGGGACCTCGCGGCGCGGTGCTGGGGCGGCGAGGCGCAGGCCGAGCCCATGACCCCCGACCCCTCGGGACGCTCTCGCGCGGCGGGCCCCCAGTCAGCGAGCGAAGAACGGTATAACATAAACTGTTTCGCTGTCGGGGGCGCCTGTCCCTGGGCGGCTGGAAAGTTTATACCCCTACGGTGCCACCGTAGGGGTATAAACTTCCCGGCCGCCCAGGGACAGGCGCCCCCGACAGCGAAACAGTTTATGTTATACCGTTCTTCGCCCGTTAACCCAGCGTCGGGCTTTCAGAGATCGCCCGCCCAGACGAGCCGACTGAGAAAAACCTTGCACCGGCGCCATCGACATTGGCGCCTGAGGGTGCCACTTCAGTCCCCAGTCGGTTTCGCTGATCGGCGTGCGCTTCGCCAGATACATTCGGTGGTTTGTGGACGTCGATTGGCCAAAATGGGGGTGATGACTACGGTCGAGAGTATGATCAAGAAATCTCCTCCCGAAAAGCTGGGCCAGCGTTTCTTAGCCAACTTGCCGGACAACTAGCCCAGTTTTCTTTGCTCGTTCGCGCCTCCAGCGTGAACAGCAGAACTTGGCCCAGGCCCGTTTCAAGAAACTTCCGGGAAGCTGGCCCAGGTTTTTTACATGATAGGCCGCCAAATCGCGGGGGGCCCCCGCGGGGCCGAGCACTTGGAATTATGGCCAGCGGCCGCGCACTCGGGCCATGATCTGCGAAATCCCATCTTGGACGCCCCCATTCGATCTTGGGCGCCCCCCGATGGACTGGGGCCCCGTGGGGGCCCCCCGGCGCCGAGCAGGCGGATTACAGTGGACTGCGGTCGCACCTTTGGTGACCTGGTTCTCCACCACCACCACCAGAAGTCCTCCTCCTCCTCCTCCTCCTCCTCCTCCTCCTCCTCCTCCTCCTCCTCCTCCTCCTCCTCCTCATCATCATCATCATCATCATCATCATCATCATCATCATCATCATCATCATCATCCTCCACCCCCTTCCCCCCTCCAACCTATGGTGGTGGTGGTGGTGGTGGAGAACAGGCCCGTCAGCCTCGTGGCGTGGCGCCGAGGGGGTCTGGGGCCGGCGGCGAGGCGGACGCGGACGCCGCCGCGCCGCAGAGCGCGCGGGAGCCGGGGGGAAGGGAGCCCCGGGGCCAGCAGCAGCACACGCCGCCGTGGGGCGCCCCGCAGCATGGTATAGCACGAGGTTGGGCATGCCTCCTCCTCCTCCTCCTCCTCCTCCTCCTCCTCCTCCTCCTCCTCCTCCTCCTCCTCCTCCTCCTCCTCCTCCTCCTCCCTTCCACAGGCGGGATACCGCCGTTTGCGGGACAGACGCCCACTTGCCCAAGGCCAGAGCGCCCCGCACCCGCGCCACGCATCTCAGTGTTGGCCCACGGCTGCGCCACAAGGGGGCGTGACGTAGCGATTGCTAGACACGCGCCCACTCCTGCGTGGGGGCACGGCTTCCTCGTCGACCTCGAAGTGCGGGGGGACGGGTGGCGAGCTTTATCGTCTTGTCACCGATGCCTGAGATGGGCGCTTGTTTTGCCAACGACTCTTGAGATGGGCGTTTATGCTTCAAACGACGGTATTCAATAGTAGTAAAGAAATAGTATGGTGGCCATGTGTCGTGCTCTTTTGACTGTTCCTGATGCTGTCTAGTTATGTTTCTGCTTCTTTTCCAAATTCCGCCTGTAGGAGGACATGCCCGACCTAATGTTACCATGGAAGCGCGAGGCCTTCGGACAGAAGCGAGGGTTCTGATGCTCCAACCTACTTTAGCCTTGATCACCAGGAAGAATTCGAGCGCCCCCAAAAAGTACCGAAACTCAAAGGTGTTCACGTGCCGGGCCCTGGGAGACACTGCTTCGACCGTGTTTCTACACTCTGTTGACACTTTTCTGGGTGCTCGAAATTATTTCTGGGATGCGATCCTTAAAGTGGGGCGGGAACAACATAAAGCGAGGGGGCAAAAGCGTGGACGGTCTGCCAGCGGGAGCGTGTCGGCCATACCCTTCACCCGACATCTTCCGACCCGAGCTCTTAGGACCTCCGCGGCCCAAGGCCCGACCCTTCTCCCAGGTGTAATCTCGAATGGCCTTCAGTTTTGATGCCGCCCCCTGCTTCTCTCGGCGGTGAATCAAACTGGTCCCTCCTCTTCCTCGTGTTCCTCCTCCTCTTCCTCGTGATCCTCCTCCTCCTCCTCCTCCTCCTCCTCCTCCTCCTCCTCCTCCGCCTTCTCCTCCTCCGCCTCCTCCTCCTCCTTGACTGTTCGTCCCCGATCCTTTTCTGCTCGTCTCAGGGCCCGACAAGGAGCCCCAGAGGCCGAGAATCTGGGAAGAACGCCCGGACTGAGAACACCACATCCTCGGAATTCTGGGTGTGCACTACCCTGCTGATGCGCCCGTGGTTACGCTCTGGCATTCTGCGTGCTGTCTCCTCTTCCTCCTCCCTCCTCTTCCTCCCTCCTCTTCCTCCCTCCTCCTCTTCCTCCCCCTCCTCTTCCTCCTCCTCCTCCTTTCCCTCCTCGTCTTCTGGCGACCTTCCGATTCGCACAGCGATCGAGGGCGAGCCTGGTGCAGCTCGGCTGCCGCGCTCCCCCCTCCTCGCACCAAGCGCCCTCGGAGAGACCCGGGCGCTCCTTCCCCCCCCGGCGAGGAGCTGGAGCTCCGGTGCTGCGGCGGCATGGCCCGCCGGGGGCCGCTCGACCCGCGGCTGGTGACCGGGCGGGGCCAGTCACATCGGCGTCACCCCAACATAGCTCGACGACATGTGAGAGTGACCTTTCGCCTGAGTGACCTTTGGTGCGGGCCCATGTGGGGTCTCCCGAGATCGCCGAGCGCGGTGCGACATAGTAGCGTCTGGCGCGCTCGTGTTTTGGCCCCCCCGCGGCCCCCAAAAAGCCGCGCACCAGAGGTCACTCTTACCCAGGGTCGCTCTTGCGTGCAGTCGAATAGTGCTCGTTTTCTTATTCACGGTTTTGCCGATCGGCGCGGGCCCTCGCTCCCTCCCCCCCCTCCCCGCCCCCCCCCCCTCCCTTTGAAGTAGATCTTGGCTGTGTTTTTGGCGCCTGTTTCAAGCAGGTGGGGTCTCCCCCCATAGGCTGCAAGCAGTCGCACGAGGCAGAGGTCCGAAGCCAGACCCTCGCCTCCCCCCTCATTCGGCCCAATGCCGAAACGCCGGATAAGAAGACGCTCACATACCAATACTACGTGTGCGTCGCTCGCCCCGGGGCGACGCGCGCACCGAGAAATCTTATAGTATATGCGTCGTGGCGGGCGCTTTCTGGCCACACCGCTCGGGAACAGATATACTACACGATGGGTATGCTATATGTTCGAGTCGGACGCGCGCCTCCAAGGAGGACATATAGTATGCGCGTCCCACTACAGGGCGAGGAGCGTTCCTGGGAGGAGGAAAAGGTACCCATGCCGCTACTCTTCCCTCGTTTTCGCCTGTTTGTGGGTCTCCTGCAAGGCCCTCGCCACCACTGCTGGATTCGCCTCGAAATCCGGGTCAGAACGCACCCCGGGAGAGGTCTGAGGAGTAGCGGCATCGGTGCCTTGTGGTTTCCGCAGTCTTGGAGCGCTCTCAGAGCGTTCTGGAGCGCTCTGGAACGGCCGCGGCGCCCGAGATGTCCTCCAGAGCCGCCGCATCTCAGCGCGGTCCCCGATTCATCCTGGTCCGATTTTCGAGGAGGGGTCCAGCCGCCACGACCTGCGCCCAAAGCAGCACGTGAAAGGAAGTGGTGGGGCGGGGCCTGACGATCCCCGCGGGGGGCGGGGGGGACGGGGGACGGGGGACGGGGGGGAGCGGCGTTGGTGTGCAAGACGAGTCCTGCAGGAGGCGCCTCAACCGAGCACACTGGTAACCGCGGGGGGAATGGCGTTGGTGTCCGCGACGAGTCCTGCAGGAGGCGCCTCTAGCCGAGCACGCTGGGGACCGACGTTGTCCCGGACGTCTGATGCCGTCCCCGTCCTGGCGTCGTCCCCAGACCCCCAGCGCCAACCTTGCCCCGCTCCGAGGGTGCCCCGGCCCTGGCCTCGTCCCCAGACCCCCGACGTCATGTCTTCTTGGCTTCACGACGCGGGCCCTCCAGTAGATTGACACCAACACCAATATCGGCGGTGTGCAGCCGCCGAGGGAAGAGGATCCCGATCTCGGCGACGGTGGTACTATCCTGGCTTCCAAAGGGACCGAAAGTGTTGCCACCCGCACCGACATCTAGGATCGTCTTCCCCCTGTGGATGCAACCCCCTGTGTTGGTGTTGGTGCTCATTTCTAGGCCTCCAATATAGTTCGGACACCTTCCCCGGGAGCCAGATCTTCTCCGCCGGTGAGCCCAGACCCCCGACGTCATGTTCTGTGGGAAAAAAACACACAGACCCCCGACGTCATGTTCTGTGTGTTCGTTCTGTGTGTGTGTGTGTTTTTCCCCGCAGACCCCCGACGTCCTGTCTCCTTGGCTTCACGACGCGGGCCCTCCAGTGGGAGCCTGTTTTTTTAGACTCTGGCAAGTTTACCTGCATGGACAGGGGGGGGAGGCTGAGCCTGAAGCAAGGCGCAAACGACTTGCACGTTCGGGGGGGGGCGCGGAAATCACGCAAGTCGAAAGGCACTTGCACGCTAGTATTGGATTGAAGAGGGGCGAGGGGGGGGGGGGGGGGGCCGAACGCCATGCAGGTAAACTTGCCCGAATCCAAAAAAACAAGCTCTTTCCTTGGCTTCACGACGCGGGCCCTCCAGTGGTTCGGACCCCTCTGCCGGGAGCTTCCAAAGACCAAGCGACCGAAAGATTGCTACCGACACCGAAATCTAGGATCGCCTTCCCCATGTGGAGGCAACCCCCTGGGGGGGGGGATGAGGAAGAGGGGGAGGAGGAGGAGGAGGAGGAGGAGGAGGAGGAGGAGGAGGAGGAGGAGGAGGAGGACGAGGAGGAGGAGGAGGATCGTGCTCATTTCTAGGCCTCCAGTGGTTCGGACCCCTCTGCCGGGAGCCAGAGGTCCTCCGCCGGCGAGCCGTGCTCGGGCGGGCCCCCTTGCAAGGGGCCCGACGAAGCAGCGCCCTGCCGGGGGGCCGAGAGCGGCCGCGGAGACTGCCGGGTGTCCCCGAGCTCCTGGGCGGAAGGCGGGCACGCTCCTCTGCGGGAGGAATCTCGGCGGCGAGCGAGGGGGGGAATTTGGGAAGGAGAAGGCCCTCTCAGAAGGCGGCGCGGGACTTCACAGAAGCCCTCGCGCCTTCTGAGAAGCTTTTGTTCTGTCTTCGGGGAAGGCTCAGCACACTTCTCAGAAGTCTGGGGGACTTCCGAGCCCTCTGAGAAGGTACGCCCCTGCTCACTTCCCCCCCTGGCTCGCCGCCTAGAATATCCCCTAAATAGGGGGAACATTGCCAGGGAGCGATCTGTTGTCGATGTTGGGCAATGTTTAAATCTGTGTTGTTCCCTACTTAGGCTCTGCCCAGAAGGGTTCTTACCGTGTATGCTCAAAGGGCCGGGCAGTGGTCCTCGCCCCGGGCGGTTCCCCCAGTTTCCGCCCCGCGGTTCCCCCAGTGACGGCCCTTTAGCTTAGCGTTGCTTATATCATCTTAGCTTAGCTTATTCCCTGCCTAGGCTCTGCCTAGAGGGTTCTTACTTTGTTTGTTTAAAGGGGCCGGGCAGTGTAGGCCGCCTCAGGCGGTTCCCCCAGTCCCCGACCCGCGGTTCACCCAGTTGCTAGCCCTAGCTTTAGCTTTAGCTTTAGCTTTAGCTTTAGCTTTAGTTTTCGCTTAGCTTCAGCTCAGATTTAGCTTAGCTTCAGCTTAGCTTTAGCTCAACTTTAGCTGAACGTTAGCTTAGCTGTAGCTTAGTTGTATATTAGATTTAGCTCAGCTTTAGCTTAGCTTTAGCTGAGCTTTAGCTTAGCTTTAGTTAGCTTTAGCTTAGCTGTAGCTTAGCTCTGGCTTAGCTTTACCGTTACTACTAATGCTGCTTTCCTAGGGGCTGCAACTCCTAGGTAGGGTCGCACTGGGATAATTTGGTATCTTGTATTTTTCCTCCAAATCCGCCTGTAGGAGGACATGCCTGTCCCAATTCTAGGCCTCCGAGATGGGGTCCGAGTAGATGGGGTCCGAGGATCGCGCCGCATCGGCGATGCATCGGCGATGCGGCTCGATGAGGAGCCCGTTTTTCGCCACGCCAATGGCGATGCATCGCCGATGCATTAGCGATGCATTAGAGATGTGGCGCGATCCTGCGACCCCATCTACTCGGACCCCATCTAGGAGTCTTGTAACTTCCCGACATCGGAGATTCCCGGTCTGTCCCCGTCCGATGTTGTCCTTGCCTTGGCCTCACCCCGTGCAGGTGCTGGCGGTGGCGTCGCAGCTGGCCGGCACGTCGCAGCGGCGGCCGGATCCACAGGGCCTGGTGCCGGCCGTGGAGGCCTGGCTCCGGAACCCGGCGGGGCAGGCGGAGGACTCGGCGGCGCGGAGGGGAAGGTCGGGGGCCACGGGGGAGGAGGTGAGTCACCAGCCTCGAACTTATCCCTATCCTTAAGATTGACACGCCAAAAGGCGATGACAATCTTAGGGATGCGCCCTGAAAAAACTAAGTAAGGGAATCCCTAAGATTGGCATTGTGATGAGGCGATGCACAGCTCCTACGGGCAGATGTTGGAAGAAGAAGTTGAACATAGTCCTGAAAGAAGCAGGAATAATCGACAGAGCGCGAAACATCGTCACCATGCTATTTTTAACCCACCCCTGACTGCCCCCCTTGTAGAAAGACATGCCGACTTTAGGCTAGGGCCGGCTCTCCCCCATGCCCTTCCTTCCACAGTTACACGATATGAATACTACCCTCCTCTCTCCCCTGATGACGTCTGGAAGTTATTCGGTCCCCCATCTGCGTATTGTTTTATATACACCGGATTCCCGGAAGTTGTGTTTTCGTTTTTTGTTCGAAATGTTGCTCCCGCTGAAGCCGGGGGAGGATGCCGGAGATTTTTTTTAGCCATCAGTAACGCACTTCGTGGTCTTCGAGTTCCCAGAACTCCATTCCTGGGCATGATTTTGAATGCCCGGAGCCAACTGTAGGCCACTTCGTGTTCTTCGAGTTCCCAGAAACTCCCCTGGGCATGATTTGAATGCCCGGAGCCAACTGTAGGCCACTTCGTGGTCTTCGAGTTCTCAGAACTCCATTCCCGGGCCACATTTTGAATGCCCGGAGCCAACTGTAGGCCACTTCGTGTTCTTCGAGTTCCCAGAACTCCATTCCCGGGCCACATTTTGAATGCTGAGGCAGGCTGATGCTGAGGCTGAGGCAGGCTGAGGCTGAGGCAGGCTGAGGCTGAGGCCGAAGCTGAAGGCAGACTGAGGCTGAGGCTGAAGCAGGCTGAGGCTGAGGCTGAGGCAGGCTGAGGCTGAGACTGAGGCAGGCTGAGGCTGAGGCTGAGGCTGAGGCTGAGGCTGAGGCTGAGGCAGGCTGAGGCTGAGGCCGAGGCTGAAGGCAGACTGAGGCTGAGGCTGAAGCAGGCTGAGGCTGAGGCTGAGGCTGAGGCTGAGGCAGGCTGAGGCTGAGGCTGAGGCTGAGGCTGAGGCTGAGGCTGAGGCAGGCTGAGGCTGAGGCCGAGGCTGAAGGCAGACTGAGGCTGAGGCTGAAGCAGGCTGAGGCTGAGGCTGAGGCAGGCTGAGGCTGAGGCAGGCTGAGGCTGAGGCTGAGGCTGATGCAGGCTGAGGCTGAGGCAGGCTGAGGCTGAGGCCGAGGCTGAAGGCAGACTGAGGCTGAGGCTGAAGCAGGCTGAGGCTGAGGCTGAGGCAGGCTGAGGCTGAGGCAGGCTGAGGCAGGCTGAGGCTGAGGCTGAGGCTGAGGCTGAGGCTGAGGCAGGCTGAGGCTGAGGTTGAGGCTGAGGCTGAAGCAGGCTCAGCTGAGGCTGAGGCTGAGGCAGGCTGAGGCTGAGGCTGAGGCAGGCTGATGCTGAGGCAGGCTGAGGCTGAGGCTGAGGCTGAGGAGCGAGGCTGAAGGCTGAGGCTGATGGGCTGAAGCAGGCTGAGGCCTGAGGCGGCTGAGGCGAGGCTGAGGCTGATGAGAGGCTGAGGGCTGAGGCTGAGGCAGGCTGAGGCCGAGGCTGAAGGCAGACTGAGCTGAGCTGAAGCAGGCTGAGGCTGAAGGCAGGAGGCTGAGGCTGAGGCAGGCTGAGGCTGAGGCAGGCTGAGGCTGAGGCTGAGGCTGATGGCTGAGGCTGAGGCAGGGTGAGGCTGAGGCCGAGGCTGAAGGCTGAGGCTGAGGCTGAAGCAGCTGACTGAGGCTGAGGGCAGAGGCAGGCTGAGGCTCAGGCTGAGGCAGGCTGATGCCTGAGGCAGGCTGAGGCTGAGGCTGAGGCTGAGGCTGATGCAGGCTGAGGCTGAGGCAGGCTGAGGCTGAGGCCGAGGCTGAAGGCAGACTGAGGCTGAGGCTGAAGCAGGCTGGCTGAGGCTGAGGCTGAGGCTGAGGCAGGCTGAGGCTGAGGCTGAGGCAGGCTGAGGCTGAGGCTGTGACTGCGACTGCCGTTGCCACTGCGACTGTCATCGCGAATGTGACTACGACTGCGAGAACAGCAGAATTCTACAACTGGATTCTCATCTGAATCTTAAGGGGAATGCTTCCAGGTATGCTCCTACACATCGCTGTTAGGTTGCTTTGCCAGGCTAATTTTTCGAAATGTTGCTCCCGCTGAAGCGCTGGATCACTTTCGGGCTTCTGCTCGTTCCGAAGCGTGCTCTCGCTGCAGCGCTGGCCTCATTTCCGCGCTTCCGCTCGTTCCGAAGCGTGCTCTCGCTGCAGCGCTGGCCTCATTTCCGCGCTTCCTCTCGTTCCAAATCGTGCTCCCGCTGCAGCGCTGGCGTCATCATTTCCAGCGCCATACCACGGCATGCAATGCAATGCTATGTGGTGTTCCGCTGTGCGATGCCATGCCTTCTGCAATGATAGGATATGCAGCGCTTGACTACGCAGTGCCACGCCATGCTATGCCATGCTTCGCTTTGATCTTCAACGCCATGCTATGCCATGTTCTGGTCTGTGCCGCTGTGTGATGCCATTAGTTGCGTTGCAATGCTTTGCGATGCAATTGTTCACTACGCACCGCCACGCCACGCTATGACATGCTACGCTCAGCCGTGCTCTTCTACGCCCCGCTGCGCGGTGCTCCACGATGCATCGCGCACCCTCTCGGGATCACTGCCCTGCCCGACGTCCGACTGTGCGAACAGAGAGGAGATCTACGCCGTGGTAGGGGATGGGAGGGCGGGGTGGGGCGTCAGACGTGACGCGAGCGCGCCTAGCTTGTCGTCTCCTCCACCTCCCTCCTCCTCCTCTCCTCCTCCTCCTCCTCTCTCATCCTCCTCCTCCTCCCCCTCCACCTCCCCCCTCCTCCTCCTACTCCTCCTCACCTCCCCTCCTCATCTCCTCCTCCTCCTCCTCCTCTCCTCCTCCTCCTCCTCCCTCCCTCCTCCTCCTCCTCCTCCTCCTCCTCCTCCTCCTCCCCCTCCCTCCTCCCCCTCCGAGCGGGCCGTGGCGGCGGAGAGAGAAGCGGGCGGCGCGCGCGGCCCCGACGGAGAAGGCGAAACACCGCGGGTAGCCACCGCGTTGCGCCGCGGGGCATAGCAGGTGCTGGCCGCCGCCGCTCTCGGGGATCCTTCTCTCCTCCTGTGCATGGCTTCGCCGATCTGCTCGGGCCCTCGCACCCCCTCCACCTTCGGAGGCCTGGAAACGGGCACCAACACCAAGACGGGGGGTTGCCTCCATAGAGAGAGGACGATCCTCGATTTCGGTGTTGGTGGCAATATTTCGGCCACCTTGGAAGCCAGAATATTACCACCATCACCGAGATCGGGATCTTCCTCCCTCGGTGGATGCACACCGCCGATATTGGTGTTGGTGTCAATCTCTAGGCCTGCGACACCTCCCCCCCCCAGGAGGGCTAAAAAATAGCACCCGACCCAAAAACCTATCCCAGAGCTATTCTACGTCTTGGTTCTAGGCTGTTCCGCTCCGCTTTTTAGGTTTTTAGGTCTCCAGTGCTAAAAAATAGCTCTCTGGAAGGTCAGGGACCTCCCTCCCCCCTCCCCCCCCCCGGAGTGGATCTCGGCTGCTCTCGGTGCCCGCTGCAGGCAGGTGGGGGCTCCTCCACGGGACGGGCTGCTGTTGCAGACGGTCGCATTGCGCAGATCGGCAGCTGGGCGAGGGCTGCTAAGACCGTGGCTGCGAAAACAGCGCTCCCGGAAGGAAAACACAGCTTCCCGGCATGGGGCGCGCCACGCAGAACAGTCAGGGGGGGCTTCCTCCCAGAGGGGCAAAGACAACGTCCCAGAGGTCGATGTTGGCAACCACGGATTTCGCAGCCCCTGCCCGGCTTCCGAGCAGAGGTCTCCGGAGCCAGATCCCCGGCCGGAGCGCCGAACTGGGAGCCGGCGGTAAACCGTCAACCTGGTTACCGCCGGGAGCCTCGTAGAGCTCTTTTCTCGCGCGGCGCTGCTCGAAACACATGGAAGGAGCTTCCTTAAGCGTGAGCCGAGAAGCTCGAAAAAACATTATGTATTTTTGGGGTTTCCATTCAAAGTCGGATCCCCGGCCGGAGCGCCGAAGAAGAAGGCGTTCCCGATTGGCGGCGCGCACGAGGGGATGCATGGCGCGAGGGGGGCGGCCGGCGGAGACGGCCGGGGAGCCTCGAGAAGAGGTTCCGGGGGCTTCTCAGAGAGATGCCGGGAGGCTTCTGCAGGAATGCTTCTCAGAAGCCTCCTGGGGCCTCCTACCCAGACCCCCTCGAGTCATGAAAAAATCACGACGGGAGGTTTTTCTATGTCTTCGGCCTCCGGGGACCCTTACCGGCCCTCGGGGCCGTAAAAAAACGACTGGAGGGGCTTCTCAGAGATGCCGGGAGGCTTCTGTAGGTATGTTTCTCAGAAGCCTCCCTGGGGCCTCCTTAAACGACGCGAAGGTCGGGACAAAATCGGATCGGGATAGCTCGAAATCTCTGAGAAGCGGCGGGTTTGGAGGATGTATTGGGCGCCGCGGCCGCTCCAGAGCGTTCCGGAACGCTCTGAGAGCGCTCCGGAACGCTCTGGAGCGAAAATCCGATCCTAGCCCTGTTTTGCTCCTAAGAAGGCCCCTGCCTTCTGAGAAGCCCCTCCACCTGGAGGCTGCCCCTATCTCGCCGCTCCCAGGTGGGTGCTGCCAATGTTCAGGAGCGAAAGAAGGACGTACACGTACATGAATCCACGCCGGTTTCGAGAGTGCGCATTGCCCGAATGTTCGTATCACGCGGCCAGTCTCGCGGATGGAGGGGCCGCATTCATGTACATAGCTGGGCGCGTACGTCCTTTTGTGGTCTCCCCAAATGTACGTCCTGGAGGGCCCTCTTCGCCACGGCTGGACTCTCTCTCTCTCTCTCGTTTTCTGGTCAGAGCGCACCCCAGGATGGGTCCGGCGGAGGACTCGGAGGACTCCGCGGCGAGCAGAACCCCACATTCCCGCGTCGTGGCAAAGCCACAGCGGGAATTTTTTGGCCGTGTGACGCTCCTGGGGCCCTCGCCGAGTCCTGGGGCCGCCAAGCATTCACCAACGATGAAAAATCGGCCCTGGGAAAGGAGTCCAGACCTGTGCGGAGTCGCATCGTGAAAACATCACGATGTGGAGGGCCTGGGAAGGGGGTCGCGTGGGGGGGGGGGGGGGGAGGGCGGAGGCGGCCTGGAAGGCGGCGGCCTTCTTCCGACGGGCCCAGGGGAGGGTTCTGAGGGGGCTTCTTGGGAGCTTCCCCAGGCCCCTTGGCAGAAGGCCCCCCTCCACCTCAGCAGCCCCTCGCCCTCTCAGAAGGCTGCCCCCCCCCCGCGCCACCGGGCTCGCAGACATCTCCCGGCATGGGTTCTTTGGGAGAGCGCCTCCTGTGCGCACGGGCAGAGGGGCGGAGGGTTCGGACCCCCCCCCCGTTGCAAGAGGGAGGGGGGTTGAACCCCCCCCCCGCCCTTTTCCAGAGAGGGCTGAGGATCCGCCCCACGAATTACAGTCGGGGCCTTGAACAAGGAACCCTTTTCGTTGGGGAGGGGCTCCGCGTTCCTGAAGTGTTTCACAGCTCGCCTCAGGTGTTTCCTTCTGTTTTCGGTAGGAGATCGAAGTTTAACTTATGGAAAAAAGGGGCCTCGTTCCTTATTTAGGGTTCCTTAGGTCAACGCCCCGACTGTACCCCATTCGCTGATGGTAGTCGACGAGGGTGAGCACGGGCGCACGACGGCCAGGAGGCGGAGGAGGACGACAACGACGACGACGACGACGACGACGGACGTCGACGACGACGACGACGACGACGACGACGACGACCGCCGACCGACGACCGACTACCGCCGACCGACGACCGCCGACCGCCGACCGACGACCGACGAACGACGACCGACGAACGACGACCGACGACGGATGACGGACACGTCGACGACGACGATAACGACGACGGACGACGAACGACGACTACGATGACGAAGAACAGGACGACACCGTCGACCGACTACGAACGACCGACGACCGACGACAACGACGACAGCGAACCACGGACGACGGATGGCGGTCAACGACGACGACGAGGACCGACAACGACCACGACGGACAACGACCACCGACGACGGCGACGACGACGACCGACGAGCGACGACGACGACGACGACGACGACGGCGACGGTCGACGGACGACGAACGTCGGAGGACGGACCACACACGTCGGACAACGGTCGATGACGGACGATGGATGACAAACGACGGACGCCAGCGACCGACGACGACGGACGACTTCGACGACGATGACGACCGACGACCGACTACGGCACCACGACGACGGGCACCACGACGACGACAACGCAAACGACGACGACGAACGATGGACGACGTCGACGACGACGACGACCGACGACCGACGACCGCCGACCTACCGACGGCCGACGAACGACGACCGACGACCGACGGATGCCGGGCACGACGGGCACGACGACGACGGACGACGACGATAACGATGACGACGATGATGACGACGACGACGATAGACGACCGACAACGACGACCGACGACTGCCGAACGCCGACCGACGACCGACGAACGCCGACCGACGACGGACGTCGACGATGACGACGACGACGAGCGACGAACGACGAAAGACGTATCATGACGACGACGACGACGACTACGACCACGAGGACGACGACGACGACAGCGACGATTCCGACAATGACGGCGACGACGACGACGACAATGAGGATGACGCGACAACGACGACTGGGACGACGGCGACGAGGACCATTGACGACGCAGACGGCGGCGACTTCATGCATCGCCCGCCTGGCCCGACCCGCTCTTGCTGGGGTCCGTCCGCCCGGGCCGACCCGCCAAGTCGAGGACACCTCATATTTGACTCACCCGCTCTCCCGACCCGGCCCGACCCACGCGCTCGTTCGGCATTGCCCGCCCGACCCGACCCGTCCTCGTCGTCGTCGTCGTCGTCCGTCCTCCGTCGTCGTCGTCGTCGTCGTCGTCGTCGTCGTCGTCGTCGTCGTCGTCGTCGTCGTCGTCGTCGTCGTCGTCGTCGTCGTCCGTCCTCCGTCGTCGTCGTCGTCGTCGTCCGTCCTCCGTCGTCGTCGTCGTCGTCGTCGTCGTCGTCGTCGACGTCGTCGTCGTCGTCGTCGTGCGTCGTCCAAGATCCGTCGTCCGTCGGGGGGACTGATTTCTAGGACACCCTAAGATCCATTTTTCAGGCCAGTGGCTGTGGAAGTCGCTCTCTCGTTCAACCCGCGGCCCCAGAGGCCCCGACCCCTTCCCTGGGGGTAGTTCTCCGTCGCGCGCCCCTCTGTTGTGGTACCCGGGCCCCCCGATCACGCTCGGAGTGAGGCAGCTGCTCCTCCTCGGAAATCGAAAGCTGCGGCTGCTCGCGCCGCCAGAGGATGGCACCCCGCTCAGCGAGCTGGTGCTGCGGCAGGTGGTCGAGGAGATCGACGAGGAGCACCCGCTGCCACCGCACGCCGACGAGCAGCTCTGGCGCCCGGTGGAGCGCCTCCGCGCCGACCTCGACGCCCTCGGCGCCGCGGGGGACCCTGAGCCGGCGCGCTTCGCGGGCGAGGACTCCAGCCATCGAGAAGCGAAGAACCCTGGACCCTGATAACGCAAGGAGTACGCAGCCTGGCTCAAGTCCCTGGGCTCGCATCAGGGGTGCTGCTCTAGTTTGGTGCCTCTGCTGGTCAGACCCCTCAGCCCCAATGCTTTGGGCCTCTTGTGAACTTGGGGCCGGTCCCAGAGGGCTAGGGGTCCTTTCGCTTTTTGCATTGTTTATCATCGAGGAGTGGCGAAGCGTCCTTGTTTACCTACAGGCCCACCCAAGACTGTTCTGATGATCTCTTTGTGGTCAGTGCCATGCTCGAGACAGCCTTGTTCTGAGACGCCGGCTTTGCGTCCTAAGAATCGTGTTTTTTTCACGTCGTGGCAGTCCTCGATGAATGCCCAGACGGTCGGCCCCCCCAAGCATCCTCCGATGTGTTCTTCTCCATTCGCGGCCCCAGAGCCCCTGACCCCTTCGACCTGGTTCTTCTGATGGTCCCCGGGCCCAGGAGTGGCCCCGGGTGGCCGAAGTTAGGGGACATCGGGGGTCCCCGAACGGTGTGGTGACCAAACCGCGTGGTGAGTCGGTGGGGGCTCGGGGTCCCCGCGCGGTTTGGGGGGCTTCAGTAGTTCTCCGAGGAGGTCCTGAGCGACCGGGGCCTCCAGGGTCCCAACTCCGTGTGGTGACGAGCCTCCCTGTAAGGTCTCTTACAGTCGGGGCCTCGTTCCTTATTTAGGGTTCCTCAGGTCATCGCCTCGACTGTAGGTTTTCGAGGTCGCCGTGCGGTCTGTCACGACACGGTTCCGGGACCCCCATGGAAGCACGGCCAGATTGAGAACCGTCGTGCAGTCGAGACGCTGGAAGCAGGACCGCCCTGGTTTCGGGGGCTCGCTGCTCCCGAGGTCATTCCGTGGCAGTTCCCCCTGGCCCTCTTCGCGGGGCGCTCCTCGTTTCCACAGCCCTTGTTCCTCGTTTCCACAGCCCTTGTTGGAAGCAGGACCGCCCTGGTTTCAGGGGCTCGCTGGTCCCGAGGTCATTCTGGGGCAGTTCCCCCGGCCCTCTTCGTGGGGCGTGCCTCGTTTCCACAGCTTACCAGCCTGGAGCATATCCCTATCCCTATGCTGGGTACCTCCTCCTCACGATGCCAATCTTAGGGACTCCCTTATTCTTGGAGGGCGAATCCCTAAGAGCGTCATCGCCTTTTGGCGTGTCAATCTTAGGGGTAGGGATACGTTCGAGGCTGGTAAACAGCCCTTGTTCCGGGCGCAAGAGAGAACCACAACCACCACGGGTCCCTTGGGGGGGGGGAGACCCCGCCGACCTCGACATCGGCATTCTGGCTGTGGTTCTGGTCGAGTTGGCCGTCGGAGACGCCCCCCCCCCCCACATCGACCACAGCCCCCACCAGGCTGCTTTTCTGGTGTTCTGGCGATTGCTGGCACGCCCAAAAGATCCCCCCAGGGTGCGCCCTCGGTGTGGTTGTGGTCGCTTGCTGTCCCCGCGAGAATGGAGTGACTTATCCCAGTGCGACCCTACCTAGGAGTTGGAGCCCCTAGGAAAGCAGCATTAGTAGTAACAGTAAAGCTAAGCTAAAGCTAAAACTACAGCTAAAGCTGAAGCTAAAGCTCCCAGGGGACTGGGCGGATACCGGGGGAACCGCCCGGGGCGAGCCCCGCTGCCCGGCCCTTTAAGCACATAGAGTAAGAACCCTTCTAGGCAGAGCCTAGGTAGGGAAATTGACGGGATCGAAACCGACGATGACTTCTTTGTATGGCGCAGCCTGGACCGAACACTACAGCGTACGGCAGGCAAAGCTGTGCTCTGCCTGGGCCTTGGGCGCTGCGAGCGCCACAGAACCAGAGGCTGCAGACGACGGGCTGCTCACATGATGCTTGCCTGCCCCAGGAGGGGGAGGAGGAGGAGGAGGGAGGAGGAGAGGTAGGGAGGAGGAGGAGGAGGAGGGGGAGGAGGGGGGGAGGGAGGGGGGGGGGGGGGGAGGGGGAGGGGAGGGGGGGGAGGAGGGGGGGGGAGGAGGAGGAGGAGGAGGAGGAGGAGGAGGAGGAGGAGGAGGAGGAGGAGGAGGGGAGGTGGAAGTGGAGGGGAGGAGCAGGGGGAGGAGGTCAGGGCAGGGCAGGGCAGGGCATGTCCTGCAGTCCTTGACAGCTTCTCCGTGAGAAGGCCACAGGAAGGGATGAAGCATCACATCGGCACAGAGACATAGTTCCTTGAATGCTTTTTGATGGTGCTCGCCGCGCGGAGGACGGCAGAAGTACTGCGAGGGCGGCGGAAGCCGTCGGGTGGCAACAGTGCGCCCTCCGAGCTCCCTGCTCCCGTAGAAGCCCTGCAGGGCTGTCTCCCTTCTGGGGTCGGCCGGGTTCCCGCCGAGCTTAGTCCCCCTTGATCCTATATGTTTGACTCAGCCAGGTCACAATCCACCCCGTTCAACAGAAGGTAAACCCAAATCCTGGGCCCTGGAGGGATCCCGCCGTGTTGGGATCGGCTGAGCGCAATCTGGGGTTCAGAAGTTCACGGGAACCTTCTGTGGTGGGGCCGTCTTGATGCCATCTTAAGGCAATGCGCGCGCCGTCCTGTCGCCGCGGACCCCTCGTCAGGGCCGCTTGAAGCCATGTTGGATCATCTTGAGATCAACTTCGCATGATAAGCAGGTCGCGGGACCGCCCTCTGCGTCGACTTGCGAACGGCATTGGGTGCATGTTATAGGTTTCGTCATGTCGTTTTCAGATGGCACTCGCGTCATGTTTGGGTTGTGCGGGCGTCGCTCGGTCAGTTTGGAGTCGTCCTTGACGTGCCCGGGTCCATCTTCTGGCTTTGGGGCCGTCTCGGCATCGCCCGCTGCTCGTCAGACGGATCATCGCGTAGGCAGCCTGAGACTCTCAAGATGTCCTGTCGTGTTATGAGCTCACGCGGTCATTGCGTGCTCTTGTGCATACTTCCCCGTGAGACTTTCCAAGGGAACTTCTGCTGGAGCCAGGTAAACCCCCAGCCCGAGGAGAAGGAGGAGGAGGAGGAGGAGCAGGAGGAGGACGAGGAGGAGGAGGACGAGGAGGAGGAGGAGTAGGACGAGGAGGAGGACGAGGAGGAGGAGGAGGAGGACGACGAGGAGGACGAGGAGGACGAGGAGAAGGAGGAGGAGGAGGAGGAGGAGGAGGAGGAGGAGGAGGACGACGAGGAGGAGGAGGAGGACGACGAGGACGAGGAGGAGGAGGAGGAGGAGGAGGAGGAGGAGGAGGAGGGGGAGCAGGAGGAGGAGACCTGGGCCTGCCCGCGAGGAGGGCGCGGGCACGCGCGAGGCGTGGCTCCCACTCCCGCCCCTCGCGGGCGGGGCGGGCAGCCGCAGGGCGGCCTACGTCACCGTGGCGCTGGCCCCGCAGCTGGCGCAGGTGGCGCCCGAGGACCTGCGGCCCGAGCCCGGGGCCGGCAGCGTGGAGGACCCGCGGATGAGGGTGGCCTGACTCCAGATCCGCCCTACTTTGGCTTTTTTTCCAGCTCAGAATTGCGTCGAAAATCCACTAGGAAGCCGAAAGAGTAGGGCGGAAATTTCTGCACCCAGCAGAAAGTAGGGCGGAAGCCCACAGAAGCATGGCGGAAACAGCAACAGGAAAGTAAGGCGGAAATTGGCATCAGCGGGGCTTGCAAAGTAAGGTGGAAATTTCAAGCCCTACTTACGACTTTCCCCAAAGTAGGGCGGATCAGGAGTCAGGGTGGGGGAGCCGCAAGTCACCGCCAAGAGTGGATGGGTCATCCTCCAGTTGGCGGACACTCTACAAAGAAGAGCTGCAATGATGGAGGCCGCTTGCGAGATGGCCATTGAAAGATTGCAGCCAGAGCCAAGTGAGCGTCTACATCCGATGTAGTTATCTTGTACTGGGGCTACCTCATAGTCACGGTGCTCTCAGACACCATCTTCTTCATGGACAAACATCAAGACGGGAGTTGTTCCTTGTTTTCGGCCTCCAGGGGCCCTCGCCGAGCCCAGGGACCGTCAAACAACGACTCAGGACGACAAAAAGCAGTCCTGGTGAATGGGCCGAGACTTGCGGGGACCGTGAATGGAGCAAAAAAACGACGTCGGATCCCTGGGTCGGATTGACTCTTCGCCAGAGTAAAACCCTCGCTGCGGGCTCACCGGGCCCCCCCCTCCAAGCGCTGAGCCCGATGCGATCGTGGCTGCGTGCGCGCTCGGCTCTGGCCACCATATGCGCCCCTCTCATCATCTGCGCGCTGCAGGCCACCCTTGCCTGGGCTCACACTTGTAGGGGAACAACAAGCTCAGAGGGTGAATTACCTACCCCGCTTTCGCTTCCAGGCAAAACCAAGCCATGCCATGCGCCTCCTCGTCGAGCGGCCTGACCAGTACAGGCTGCAATTTGGCATCGTTTGGTATCTCTTGGAAGCGAGGGTGGTCAAAAGCGAGGTAGGTTTGTTTTCCCCCTAAAAGTGGCATAAACGAAAAAACTCGGAGGTCCGCGCGGATTTCTCGGATCGGCGCTGGACTCCCCTCCCTGGCGCGCGGAGCGAGCCAGGGGCGGCGCCGGAGGCGCCGCCGGGGGGCCCCAGCGCCGATCCGAGAAATCCGCGCGGAGCTCCGAGTTTTTATGTTTATGTCACGTTTTGTTCCCCCAGGCCTGGGGTCACTCTTGTCAGGAGGGAAAAAGCACACAGACACAATTGATCGTCGATTCCCCAGAAAAGATGGGAAACCATGGGAAGTGGGGGGGGAAGACAAAACCCAGAAAAGATTAGAAAAAATTCAGGGAATCCTGCTATTTGTGCGTATTTATATTTGTGTGTCCCAGGGCCCCTTCCTCTTGGGCGCAGCCGAGGGGGGGGGCCCACCCTACGCGTCGCCATGGGGGAAAGTACGGGTCCTGCAGGGGAGCGGGGCCCCGGAGGTGTTGGTCGCCGTGTGTGTGGCTTCTCCCGGGGCCCTCCCCGCGTGCCCCCCGGGCCGTGAGGACACGACTCGGGGTGAAGAGCTGGTCCCCGGGGAAGCCCCAGGGCTGTGATGCTCCAACCTGTGATGCCCTTCACTCGACCGGGCCCCGCGGCCGTCAGAGCTGGGTCCGGGCCGAGCCGGCGGCGGCCTTCGCGGTGCGTATGGCGTGTGGCTCCTCGGCGGCCGGCCGCCCTCGGGCTGCGCTCTCCCGCGGCGGCGCCCTCGGCCGAGGGCGTGCCGCCGGGGGTGCCCGGGGTTCGTCCCGCGGGCGGCCGCCGGAGGCCCGAAGGCCGTGGCCCGAGAGGCGGAGCTCGGCGGCGAGCGACCCGCAGATCCTGGCGCTGCACTTTCCCTGACCTTCCAGGAGGGCTAATTGTTCCCCCCTACCGTATCCCCCTCGACCCGACACATGGGGTCCGAGCAGGTGGGGTCGGAGGATGCGGCGCGATCCTCCGACCCCGACCCCACCTGCTCGGACCCATTTCTGGGGGCCAGAGATCCGCCGATCTGATTTTTTCGATCCGCGGCCCCCAGGGGCAGCCCTTTCGCCCCGGGTCTGTCTCCGATGGGCGGGCCCGATGGCGGGCGGCAGAGGCCGAAGATCGAGGGCTAAAAAAATAGCACCGGGCTTGAAAACCTATCCCAAAGCTATTCTACGTCTTGGTTTTAGGCTGTGTCGCGCAGCTTTTCAGGTTTTCAGGTCTCCAGTGCTAAAGAATAGCTCTCTGGAAGGTCAGGGTTTCCTTTGTCCAACGTCGGATCCCATCGGGGGCGGAAAAAAGGGGGGTGATGACTGGGGGGGGTGGATATCATGGCGCGGGCCATGATCTCTCCGCAGATGTCATGGCGCCGCTTCTTGTTACATTACGTCCCAGGCCCCCCTGCTGGGCCGCGCACGTGCCGCCGGTCATGATTTGCACCCCCCTCTCTTGGACACCCCCCTCTTGGCAGCTCCCGATCTCAGGGGAGGGGGGGAATTGGGGGAGGGCAGACCTCCTACCCTGACACGTCGATTAGCGAATTGGCCGTTCCCGGTTCGCGAGAGGGCGTCGCGGCCGTCATTTTTGCGGGTCCAGGTCCGTCGGTTTCGGTCCCAGGCCGTTTTCATTAAAGGGAGGTTTACTAAAGGGAGGTTTGTCCACCGCCGAACGAAGAGGTAGGTACTCCCCGGGTGAGGGGTCGGGACCTCCCCGGGCCTTGAAGAGTTCTATCGGGGGCTGCCCGGGGAGGGAGCGGCCATGCCCCCCCACGGACTGGCGCTTGCCGGATCCGGACCCCCTCGCGTCTTGAAGGAGTCGCGGCGAGGGGCTTTTGGACGCTGCACCACGCTCCAGGACAGTCACAGAAATCAGCTCGGGATGGAACGCAAGTCCTGGGTAACGGGCCCATGCCTGACCTCCGGTGGATCACGGTGCGAGCAAACATCCCGACGTCGGGGGTCTCGGAACAGAGTCCCGCGCGTTTGGTGCACGCAGTCCTGCCCTGATCGCTTCGTTCCCTCGAATGCGCCTGATTGCACAGACGCGTCGCCTCGCATGAAGGGGGTGCCAATTTGCAGAGGGCCCACGCATCCGATGATTTCGTGTTGTTTTTCCCCACATCCAAAGTGGGGTTCTTGTTTTCTCTGCACACCCCGCGCAGGAACACTCACCCCACCCCCTCTCCTCTTCTGCCTTCGCACACTCACTCACTCACTCATCATCATCACCACTCACTCACACTCACACTCACTCACACTCTCTCATCATCAACATCAGCATCATCACTCGCGTCTCTCACACGCTCAGCACTCTCTCACACGCTCACGAACATCATCGTCATCATCGGTATCGGCATCATCCTCATTCAAACATCATCATCGCCACCACCACCCACAATCAATCATCATCCTCTTCACCACTCATCTTCACCACCACTCATCATCCTCATCCTCATCATCGTTGAGTAAAGTGTGAGGAAGTCTCAGGCGGGAGCCCCCTCCCTATGGGGCCCGCAGATCATGTTGGTAATCCGAGCGGGTCATCGGAACCCTGTAACTGTCGTCACTTTTGGGCTCCCCAGGCCTGAAAATGGAGGAAGTCTCAGGCGGGAGCCTCGTCTGTGAGTGAATTGGGAGGAAGTCTCAGGCGGGAGCTCCCTCCCTATGGGGCCCGCAGATTATGTTGGTAATCCGAGCGGGTCATCGGAACCCTGTAACTGTCGTCACTTTTGGGCTCCTCAAGCCTGAATATGGAGGAAGTCTCAGGCGGGAGCCTCGTCTGTGAGTGAATTCTGAGGAAGGCTCAAGCGGGAGCCCCCTCCCTATGGGGCCCGCAGATCATGTTGGTAATCCGAGCGGGTCATCGGAACCCTGTAACTGTCGTCACTTTTGGGCTCGTCAAGCCTGAATTTGGAGGAAGTCTCTGGCGGGAGCCTCGTCTTTGAGTGAATTGTGAAGAAGTCTCAGGCGGGAGCCCCCTCCCTATGGGGCCCGCAGATCATGTTGGTAATCCGAGCGGGTCATCGGAACCCTGTAACTGTCGTCACTTTTGGGCTCCTCAAGCCTGAATATGGAGGAAGTCTCAGGCGGGAGCCTCGTCTGTGAGTGAACTGCGAGGAAGTCTCAGGCGGGAGCCCCCTCCCTATGGGGCCCGCAGATCATGTTGGTAATCCGAGCGGGTCATCGGAACCCTGTAACTGTCGTCACTTTTGGGCTCGTCAAGCCTGAATTTGGAGGAAGTCTCTGGCGGGAGCCTCGTCTTTGAGTGAATTGTGAAGAAGTCTCAGGCGGGAGCCCCCTCCCTATGGGGCCCGCAGATCATGTTGGTAATCCGAGCGGGTCATCGGAACCCTGTAACTGTCGTCACTTTTGGGCTCGTCAAGCCTGAATATGGAGGAAGTCTCAGGCGGGAGCCTCGTCTGTGAGTGAATTGTGAGGAAGTCTCAGGCGGGAGCCCCCTCCCTATGGGGCCCGCAGATCATGTTGGTAATCCGAGCAGGTCATCCAAAACCTGTAACTGTCGTCAATGTTGGGTTCTCGCGCTGCCAGAACGCAGTTCCCAGGCCACACTTTGGATGCAACAAGGAAGTTTTTGGGCTCCTCAGGTCGCCGAGGTGCTGCGACAGGGCGCCGAAGGCGCCGACGACGACGGCCAGGCCGAGGCGCGGGCGCGGAGCTTGCTGATGTTCAGGCCCAGCGAAAGGGAGTTCACATGGCAGAGCTCGGGGGCGCACAGCGTGCGCCGCTCGGGGTTCACCCTGACGCACGCGTCCTACCTGACCTCCACGCTGTCGCAGGGCCAGACGCTGCGCAAGGGCGTCACCATCGACTGCGCGAGAGACGAGGACGCTGGCCGCACGGGCATGTCGGACGAGCAGTGGTGGCTGCACCTCTACGTCATGTTCTCCCGCGCCACGTGCATGCGGAACATGCTGATCCTGCGGCCGCCGCCGCGAGAGTTCCTGGAGTGCGGGCCGCCGGCGTCCCTGCGGAAGGCGCTCCTGGAGTTCGACAAGAGAACGGTTTTGTCCAGGGCGGAGGCGAAGCAGCTCGCGGCAGAGCTGGGCTTCGTGCTGCCTTCCGCCTGAGCGCGGCTGCGCCTCGCTCGAAGCCCGCGGGGTTGTCCCAACGGCTTGGTCTTGCGCGCCAACGGCTCGCGGGGTTGTCCCGACAGCCTGGCCCGCGGGGTTGTCCCAACGGCTGCGCGACGTGACCTGTAGAGAACGCGCCTGTGCTGGCCGTGGCGGCGACGGCGCCGAGGAACATCGACATGCGCGCTCATGCAACAGGAAGGGGAGGAGGTGGCGGGGCGCGGAACAAACAGGGGGGCGAGGATGGGGACAACGTAAGGAGTGGAAGGGGGGCCCGCGCCAAGGCGAGAGGAAATATACGCAGAAGAGACAGCCAGGACGCCTCACCAACCACGAGGACGACGGTGATGGCTTTTTCCAGATTCGCCCAGAGGATTCTTATGTGGGGTTCTTCCGTCGGAGTAATGTGTTTTTTCTCTCTGCGCGGCCCCACAAACAACTGCTTGCGCCTACGCTCCAGGCGATGCTTAAGAAAACCCAAGTTTTCGGCCAGAGGCTCGATTATTCTTAATGTTTCAATGTAAATCCCAAGATTGTGATAGAAGTTCTGGGTTTTTTATTCAAGCTCTGAGACTCTGAGTTTCTTAACCCATGATTTCTTAAGCATTTCGCAGGGTGTAGTGCAGGATCCCAGCAGCCCCAGGGGGGATTCCGGTGGTCCCCTCTCGGCGCCCCGTCGCCTCTGCGGAGGCCCTCTCCCGGCTCCAGAGCGCGAGCGCGGAACGTGCCCCGTGGAACCTTGGGAACTATGCTTTCCAACATTCACCTTAGGCGATGCTTAAGAAAACTTCAGTTTTCGGCCAGAGTCTCGATTATTCTTAATGTTTCAATGTAAATCCTAATATTTTAATAGAAATGTTGGGTTTAAATTCAATTTCTGAGATAATGAATTTCTGAACCCATGAGTTCGTAAGCATTTCGCAGGGTGTTCTTCGAACGAGTTTTTGTCTCCTTGCCCCGCGGCCGATGTCGACCGGCGGTTTTTGCGGCCACGCTCGCAGGACAGCTTGTGGAGCAGGGGCTCGGCGATGGTTTTGCATTCGCCGGGCGCGTCCTCTTCCTTGTCGTCCGTGGTGCGGGATATGGTCCCCTCGAGGGGCAGCGGACTCTCCCCCTTGCTCTGCTGCGTACCAAAAAAAATCCTGTGGGTGGTCGGGTCTGGTGCAGCGCTCCCCCCCCCCCAAGAGTTGTTTTTGACGGCCCCGCGGGGGCCCGGAAGCGGCCCCCGGGAGGCCGAAAGGCAGAAGACCCTCTCGCACCCAGCACCTCTCAGGAGGGACAAAGACACACAGACAAGATTTAAATCGTCGATTCCCCAGAAAAGATGGGAAACTATAGGAAGTGGGGGGGAAGACTAAAATGCAAGGCATATGCGAAACTCTGGGGAAGCCTGTCATTTGTGTGTATTTATTCGTGTGTCCCTGGGCCCCTTTAACCTCGGACCGCGCCCGCCCCCCCCCCTGCGGTGCGGACCTCTCCCCGGGTGCGCTGCGCGACCAGAGCTCCGAGGCGAAAATCCAGCGGTGGCGACGAGGGCCTCCCGGGAGGCCCCAGAGAGGGGAAACCGAGGGACAGGTAGCAGAATGGGCACCTTTTGGGGAGGGGGAGGACCGAGGAGGAGGAGGAGGAGGAGGAGGAGGAGGAGGAGGAGGAGGAGGAGGAGGAGGATCGAGGATTGAGGAGGATCGAGGAGGAGGAGGAGGAGAAGGAGGAGGAGGAGGAGGAGGAGGATGGAGGAGGATCGAGGAGGATCGAGGAGGAGGAGGAGGAGGACGATGGAGCTTCCTCTTCTGATCTCCCCCTCCTGCAGGCTGGGAGCGCCGGGCCGTCTCCGCCCCCCCGCCGGCTCCCCGTCGAGGAGGGCGGTGCCCTCCGCCCTCCCCCCGAGGAGGTGGACCTCGGCGCCCTCGCGGGCACCCTCGCGGCGCGGCGCGCCGAGAGCGCCGAGGGCGCCGCGGCGGAGGCGGGCGTCCGGCAGCTGCGGGAGGCCGAGGCGCTGCTGCGGTCGCTCCACGGCCGCACCGAGGACCGGGGGCGGCAGAGGAAGATCGGGGGCCTGCCCCACCTCGCAGGGGGCCTTCGCCTCCTCCAGGCCCCGGCGCCTTGACGCAGGGGGGGCCGCTCAGAAGAGGAGCGAAGCCCTGACTGCACCCCACAGGGGCTACTCGGAGGCACCACCCACCCTTCGAGGATGGGCGCCCCCCCATCGCACATCCCGGAATTGGGCCCCAACTGTCTGGTCCGTTCGAAAGCCTCCCAGAGCCTGGGGTTGCCATTGCCCCTGTCACTAGCCGGCTCCTGGCAAGCCATCCCCTTCCGTGACGTCCCCCTTCGCCTCGCCCCTGCGGCCGGAAGGGTGCTCGAAAGGCGCGGGTGATGTCGGGGAGATGGCTTGCCAGGGGTCGGCCAGGCCGCGCCCGAGAGAAGACCTCAGGCAAATGCAAAGCCGAAGGGGGGGGGCTCTGTTTCTCGTGTTCGTGATCGGCATTGTTGTCGTCCTCCGTTTCGGGGTCCGTGTTTGTTTGGTGTTGTTCGGGGAGTTCCCTTCGCGCCGTTGTCCGCTCCGTTCCGTTTCGCACGGCCGTGTGTCATAGTTCGGGCTGTCGGTGTTTTCCGTTGATGCCGGCCGAAAACAAAAGGGACGGAGTTGATCGCCCCCAGCGGTTTCAATATCAAATAACACCCCGGCTCCCTCGCGTCGTGAAGAAAAGACACGGCGGACGTTTCTTGTTGTTCGTATTGTCGGCCTCTTGGGGCCCTCGCTGGGTCTTGGAACCGTCAAGAACGACTCGGGATGAAAATCCGGGCCTGGGGATGGGTTCAGACCCAGGGGTGGACCTAAACGATGTGTTTTTGCGATTTCGTGGGCCGTTTTCGTTTCGATGTCGTTTTGCAGCGAAGGCGAATTCAAGACAAAACGAGGGAAAACGAAAACAACACGAAAACGAGAAGCACTGTTTAGGTCCAGCCCTGTTCAGACCCCTGGGGGTCGACGTTGCGAAACAATCATGAAGTCAGAGGTCTGGGGGGAGGGCACGCGGATACCGATGCCGCTACCTTTTCCCTGTCGCCACCGCTGGATGCGCCTCGATCTCCCGGTCAGGCCGCACCGTCGGAGAAGTCTGGGGAGTATTGGTATATTTGTTCGTTTCCCCAGAAAGGAGAAGGATCAGAAGAGGAGGAGGAGGAGGAGGAGGAAGACGGAGAGGAGGAGGAGGATGAGGCGGAGGAGGAGGCGAAGGAGGAGGAGGAGGAGGAGGAGGAGGACGACGAGGAGGCGGAGGAGGAGGAGGGGGGCAGAAGGCGTCCGGAAAACAATAATTCCGTCAGGAGCCAGGAAGCAGGGGGAGAAGGGGGAGGGGGAGGGGCAAAGCTAGGTGCGCTCGCGCCATATCCGACAGTTTGAACCCTCCCACCAATCTCTTCCCATTGCGTTGTTTTCTTTCTATCCGCCGACACGTGTCATAGTGGGCCTGGAATTGGAGAGGTTGCGGACGAGCATGTGGATGAGCAGGAGAAAAAGAAGAGGGATATATGGCCCAGAGATCCCACTTGTTGAACAATTTCAAGACAGACTTGCTTCGCTGTGGTCGGCCTCCATAGAGGACCTCGACTGGCCACGGGACCGTCCACAAAAATGATTCAGGATGAAAAGCTGGTCCCCGGGATTGGGTCGAGACTTCCACGGACCCCGCATTAACAAAACAAGACGTTGGATCGGGGCGGCCAAGAGGGGGCAGAGGGCTTGGTATCAGGCTTCGGGCTACGCGCAGGCAGCCCCCCCGAGGAAGCCCCGACTGGCCTTAAAGTATGCTCCCCGAGTAGTCCTGGAGCTGGCCTCAGCCGGCCCCCCCGAGCAGTCTGTGTGGGGCGGTCTCGCAACACCCTGGCGCCGCCTGCAGCGGCGCCCCCTGGGGCGCTCCGCGCCCCGGGGTCGACGCGTTGAGACCTTGGTGTCCGTGGACCCGCGGCGGCCGGGGCCCGCTCTCGGGCCGGACGGAAGGGGGGGATATGGGAAAGGGGGGGGTACGGAATCCGCTGCGTGCCGCTGGTTTCGGCCCCGCCGCCGGGCCCACTCCTCGATGCATGGGCGCCTCCCGGCGCCGGGAGGCGCCGGGAAAATCAGCTCCGTGAGCTGATTCTCAAGCTCCCCCTTTGCTATCCCCCCCTTTCGCCGGGCCCGGCCTTAGTGGCTGTGGACCTGCGGCGGCCGGGAGCCGCTCGAGCTTCTGCTCTGCGTGCCAGCCGAGCTTGTGTGTCTACGTGACACGGTCCTCTGGCGTGTCGCGCGGCTTCGGATCCCGGACGGGTCACGGCGACAGACCTGGCTCGAGGCCCCGGGCCGCATGGCTCGCACGATTCGCGCGTCGCTCGGGCGTGGAGGACACGCCGCACTCGAGAGTCACGTACAGTCGGGGCCCTGAAGAAGGAACCCTTTTCGTTGGGGAGGGGCTCCGCGTCCCTCAAGTGTTCCACAGCTTGCCTCAGGCTCTCCTTAGGTTTTCGACAGGAAATCGAAGTTTAACCTATGGAAAAAAGGGGCCTCGTTCCTTATTTTGAATTCCTTTTAGGTCAACGCCCCGACGGTGCGCTGTCGGATGCCGTGTGCCGCGCGCACGGCCGGGGCTCCTTCGCCCGGAGTGTTCTCCGGAGGCCGCGGGCCCCGCCCGCTCGAGGCTCCGATCTTTGTGGGGTCCTGCAGGGGGCGCGGCCACGTCGCCAGAAAAGCCTGCTTTGGACTTCGAGGGGGGATGTACCCTGACCTTCCAGGGGGGCTAAAAAATAGCACCCGACCCAAAAACCTATCCCAAAGCTATTCTACGTCTTGGTTTTAGGCTGTTTCGCTCAGCGTTTTAGGTTTTTAGGTTTCCAGTGCTAAAAAATAGCTCTCTGGAAGGTCAGGGCAGAAAAGCTTGCGTTGGACTTCGGGGGGGGGTGTAGTTCCAGTGGGCGTCCCCTCCGCGTACGTGCTCCGGGCCTTGACTCCTGCAGACCCCCGACGTCAGGATTGCTTCTGATCACGTCGACCCCACGAGCTCTCGACCCACTTGCCTGACCTTCCAGAGGGCTATGTTTTAGCACTGGAGACCTAAAAGCCTAAAAAGCTGAGCGAAACAGCCTAAAACCAAGACGTAGAATAGCTTTGGGATAGGTTTTGGGGTCGGGTGCTATTTTTTAGCCCCCCTGGAAGGTCAGGGTTCCCGGGACCCGCTTTTTCATCCTGAGTCGATGTTTTATCCCCGGTCCCGAGGCCAGGCATAGGGGCCCCTCGAGGCCGAACATGGCGAAGAGCCTCCCGTCGTGACTTCTCGATGGCTCGAGGGGTTCTGGGTTCGCGAGCCCCCCCCCCCTGTTTCGAATGCAACTCCTGGGAGGTCAAACTTTGTTTTCGCCTTGGTCCCAAATCCGGCTTGATCCAGCCTAATCCCGCTTCATCCGGCTTCATCCCGCTCAATCCGGCTGAATCCTGCTTACAGTCCGAGGCCCACTCCGGCGTAACAGCTTCCTCGTGGGGCTTAATCCTCTTTAATCTGTCCGACGCAAACCTCCCAGTGGTTGCCTCCTGACCCCTGTTGCACGCCCCCGCCCCTGCGACTCAGGAGGGGAAAAAACACATAGACACAATTCATCGCCGATTCCCCCGAAAAGATTGGAAAATATGGGCAGTGGGGGGGAAGACAGAAACCCAGAAAACTCAGAGCGTGAATTACCTACCCCGCTTTCGCTTCCAGGCAAAACCAAGCCATACCACGCGCCTCCTCGTCAAGCGGATTGACCAGTACAGGCTGCAATTTGGCGTCGTTTGGTATCTCTTGGAAGCGAGGGTGGTCAAAAGCGAGGTAGGTTTGTTTTTTCTCTCTAAAAACATGAGAGCATATGGGGAACATGTTTATTTGTTGTGTGTCCCAGGGCCCCTTCAGCGACGCCCCCTGGGAGGAGCTCGAGCTGCGCGCGGGGCCCCTCCGCCCGGCCGCCCCTGGGGCGGCGGCGGCGGCGGCGGCCGCCGCGGCCGAGGAGCCGCGGGAGGGCACCCACAGCCGCCCGGGCCAGGGCCACCCTGGGCCGCTTTCCATCGGCTCCTCCTCCTCCTCCTCCTCCTCCTCCTCCTCCTCCTCCTCCTCCTCCTCCTCCTCCTCCTCCTCCTCCTCTCTCCTCCTTCCTCCTCCTCCTCCTCCCTCCTCCTCCTCCTCCTCCTCCTCCTCCTCCTCCTCCTCCTCCTCCTCCTCCTCCTCCCCTCCTCCTCCTCATCCTCTCCTCCTCCTCCTACCTCCTCCCTCCTCCTCCTCCTCCTCCTCCTCCTCCTCCTCTCCTCCTCCTCCTCCTCCTCTCCTCCTCCTCCTCCTCTCCTCCTCCTCCTCCTCCTCTCGTCCTCCCTCCTCCTCCTCTCCTCCTCCTCCTCCCTCCCTCCTCCTCCTCCTCCTCCTCCTCCTCCTCCTCCTCCCTCCTCCCCCTCCTCCTCCTCCTCCCTCCTCCTCCTCCGCCAGAGTGGCCTCTGGTGCGGGCTCATCGGGGCTCTTCCGCTCGAGGAGCGCGATGCGACAGCAGCGGATTGCGCGCCTGGATTTGGCCATCCTGCGCCCCCTCAGTCCGCGGCGCCAAAAGGTCACTCCTGCTTAGGGTCTCTCTTGCGCGTAGTCGATTCCAGGCCTGCCAAGTGCGGGTCGGACAGGAGCCCAGACCCCATCGAGTCAGGAACAAGCCACGCCGGGAGGTTGTTGGCAGCCTTCGGCCCGACCGTCTGGACGCCCGAAACGGGTACGGAAAGAGTGGGTACCATGCCCAACAGCAGTTCCTGTTCATTTTGAACAGGACTCGCTGTCCGCGCCGCCGCGGCCTGTGTCCACTTGAGACAGAAGGCCGCCTGCCCAACAGCGGCCGCTGTCGGTTTGGGGCAACATTTGCTGTTGGGCATGGCACCCACTCTGTCGGCACCCATTTCGGGTGTCCAAAGACCGGGGGGGCCCCCGCCCGGGCCCCGGGACCGTCCAGAGACGGCTCAGGATGCACAAGCGGTCCTGGGGAAGGGGTCGAGGCCCCCAGAGTCGAAGTCACGAAAGTATGAAGTCAAGAAGGCCTCGACGAGGCCTCCAGAGTCGAGTCGAGGCCTCCAGAGTCGAGGTCGTGCCCCCCAGAGTCGAGTCGAGGCCTCCAGAGTCGAAGTCGTGAGAATCTCAAGACGTCGGGGGTCTGGGGAGTCTGGGTCGGACGGCAGCGGGGGACGCCACAGCGGGAGCCCATGCCTTGAGAGAGACGCCCTGCTTGCCTCCAGGCTGCCCCGAGCTTCTTGGGTCTCGATGGTTTTGCTGTGGAAGGCGTGACGGTCCCACACTAAAAATCAATGGACGTCCTGGGGTTCCAGGGTTGGGTTCCTTCTGGAAGGCTTCTTGTGGTCGAGCTCCTGCTGCAGGAAAACGGGTGGGCACGACATCTGCTACGTGCAGCCGGTTTCGGCCCCACCGCCAGGCGCTTTCTTCGATACGTTGGCGCCTCCAGCGCCAGGGGGGGCGCCGGGGGGCGCCTGGGAAATCAGCTACGTGAGCTGGTTCGCCAACCCCCCCTTTGCTACAGGCCTCGGACGAAAATAGCCCACAAGCATGCCACATTCATCGGTCAACGCCTCCCCCTCCCCCCAATGTTTAAAGTTGGCGGTGGGTTTTCTGAGTTCCACTTCGATCGTAGTCTCCCCCGCGCGTGCCAAGTTGGAGTTTGGGGGAGCGGGGGAGTGTCCACTAATTGTTCCCCCCTACCATATCCCCCTCGACCCGACACATGGGGTTCGAGCAGGTGGGGTCGGAGGATCGCGCCGCATCGTCGATGCACCGGCGGCGCGGCTCGGTGTGGAGCCCGATTTTCGCCACTCTGATGGCGCCGATGACTTGCGGACATCGCCGATGCGTCGCCAATGCATCGCTTGGCGATGCGGCGCGATCCTCCGACCCCACCTGCTCGGACACATTCGGGGGGCCGGAGATCCGCCGATCTGATTCTTAGGCTTACGCCACACCGCCGACCCCTTGTTTATGCCAATCTGGGGGTAGTAGAAGCTGCGAAGGGGTGAAAAGGCGAGTGATATTTGTTTGGTGTCTGTTCGCCGCCACCGCCAGAGGGTCTCGGGCAGTTCCGCGGGGGGGTCCGAGCGGACGGCGACACCGCGAGTTTTGGAGCCACTTGGGGGCCGTTTCGGAGCCTCTGGGGTGCTTCTTGGGGGTTCCTTGGGGCGTCTGGGCGGCCTCGTGAGGGCCTCTGGGGGCCTCTTGGGGCACTCTTGGGGCCCCCTGGGGTTCCTGGGGGCAGAAAGCTAGAGTTTCAACATGTTTGGTCGCCCTCTTGGGCCCCTCTTGGTGCCGTCTTGGAGCCCTCTTGGGCCGTCTTGGGGACCTCTTGGGCCGTGTTGGGGCCGTCTTGGGCCGTCTGGAGGCCGTCTTGGGGGCCTCTTGGGCCATCTTGGGGCTGTCTTTGGGGCCTCTTTGGCCGTCTTGGAGCGTCGGGAAGCCGAAAAGGCGGAAAAGCAAAAAACATCGAAAAACACTATGGAAAATCAACAATTTTAGACTCTTGGGCCCTCTTGGGAGGCTTGTTTGGGACCTCGGGGGCCGTCTTGGAGACCTCTTGGCCCGTCTTGGGGCCATCTTGGGCGTCTTGGAGCGGTCGTTTGGCGTCTCGGGGCCTTCGTGGGCCGTCTTGGAGGCCTCTTGGGGGCTTCTTGGCCCGTCTTGAGGCCCTCTTGGGCCCGGAAAAGCCCCGTGAACCGCTCGTCCCGGCCGTGCTGCGCTCGTGCCGGACCCCCCCCCCCCCTCCAAATCGACCGGACCGGGCTCCCGGGGGAGGGGTTTGGGGAGGGGGAAGCATCTCACACGCCGATGATCCCCAAGGGGTCGGCGGATTTTTTCGATCCGCGGCCCCCAGGGGCAGCCTTTTCGCCCCGGGTCTGTCTCCGATGGGCGGGCCCGATGGCGGGCGGCAGAGGCCGAAGATCGAGGGAAGGAACACCAGCCCTGACCTCCCAGGAGGGCTAAAACATAGCACCCGACTTGAAAACCTATCACAAAGCTGTTCTAATTCTTGGTTTTAGGCTGTTTCGCTCAGCTTTTTAGGTTTTTAGGTCTCCAGTGCCACAAAATAGCTCTCTGGAAGGTCAGGGTAAGCGGACTGAGGACTGAGGGGGCGCAGGCTGGCCGAATCCAGGCGCGCAAGCCGCTGCTGTCGCATCGCGCTTCTCGATCCGAAGAGCCCCGATGAGCCCGCACCAGAGGTCACTCTGGCGAAGGAGGAGGAGGGAGGAGGAGGAGGAGGAGGAGGAGGAGGAGGAGGAGGAGGAGGAGGAGGAGGAGGAGGAGGAGGAGGAGGAGGAGAAGGAGGAGGAGGAGGAGGAGGAGGAGGGAGGAGGAGGAAGGAGGAGGAGGAGGAGGGAGGACGGAGGAGGAGGAGGAGTAGGAGGAGGAGGAGGAGGAGGAGGAGGAGGAGGAGGAGGAGGAGGGACCCAAGCTCAGATCGTTGGAGCTCTGGGCACACCGGTTGGGCGGCGCGCGCGCCCGAGGCCCGGGCCGCGTCGGGGCCCAGGGCGGCGCCAGCCGGGCGCAGCGGTGGCGTGCACGCTCGGCATCGCTCGGGCGCGTGCGTCTCTCTCTCTGTCGGCGCGGAGCCTCGAGGAGCACCCTGTCAGAGCCCCGAATCATCAGGGGTAACTCGGGTCAGGGTTAACTCGGGTTCGTTTTTCGGGAATCCGAACCCGACTTACCCCGGACCCGAGTTACACCGGATGATTCGAGCGTCCAGAGCCCCACATCATCAGGGGTAACTCGGGTCAGGGCTAACTCGGGTTCCTTCTTCGGGAATCCAAACCCGAGTTACCCCGGACCCGAGTTACCCCGGATAATTCGGGCGCCCAAACCCTGGGCAGCCGTGCCCCCCCCCCCCCAAAAAAAAAGATTCACTGCGTGGAGCTCCCCACATGTGCATCTGCTCGCACGGACCTGTCCGCCGTGAACGCCTAGGCGCAAGAGGTTTCGAACATCAACGGGCTTCAGTTGTGGCGGTCTGGTCATGAATCTAACTGCGAATGAATTGGAGTGCGAATGAGCCTCAGTAGAACGAGCGCGTCTGTGCGCATGAGCCTGGGGCCTCCTGGGGGCTCCTGAAACCTACTGGGGCTTCCTGGGGCCTCCAGGAGCCTCTTGGGGCCTCCTGGAACCTCCCAGGGAGGCTTCGGGCCCCAGGAGAGGCCCAATATATAGCAACCAACGTACATAAAACATTGCGGATTGGAGCCACAGGAGACGGGCAATTTATAGGAACACACGTAAAGCACCAAGGACTCGTGCCCCAGGAGAGGCCCAACATATAGGAACATAAGTAAAACATTTAGGATTGTGTTCACAGGAGAAGGACAATCTATATAAACATGCGCATAACGTCAAGGATTCGTGCTCCAGGTGAGGCGCAATCTATAGGAGCATACGTAAAACACATGGGATTGGAGCCACTCCTGTTGCCTTCTGAGGCCTCCTGCTCCTGGGGCCTCTCGGGACCTCCTGTTGCCTTCCGAAGTCTCCTGGCGCTTCCTGTGGCCTCCTGGGGCCTCCTGTGGCTTCCTGAGGCCTCCTGGAGCTTCCTGGGGCCTCCTGGAGCCTCTTGGGACATCTTGTGGCCTCTTGAGTCTTTCTGTGGCCTCCTGATCCCACGAGTCTGGCCACCAAAACAGGCAAACCGAACGAGACATCCTCAAAATCTGGCCCACCTGGGGGGTGAAAAAGGGCGCCTCGCTCGAGACATCCTCCAAATCTGCTCCGAAAGCGAAGGATGTTGGGACGCAAACCGTTTGAGGCATCCCCACAAAACGGCCCTCGGCGGCTCCCCTTAGGGGAGTGAAAATGAGCGCCTCGCTCGAGACATCCTCCAAATCTGTTCCGAAAGCGAAGATGCTGGGACTGAACAAGCAAACCGCTTGAGACATCCCCACACAACGGCCGCGAGCGGGACCGTGTCATACCCCTCGGCGGCTCCCCTTAGGGGTGCTGAAACCAGCGCCCAGCGTGAGACATCCTCACAATCTGCTGTGTGTAGAGTAAGTCTGAGTATGAGTAGGTCTGAGTATGAGTAGGTCTGAGTATGAGTAGGTTTGAGTATGAGTATGTCTGAGTATGAGTAGGTCTGAGCATGAGTAGGTCTGAGTATGAGTAGGTCTCAGTATGAGTAATTATGTGTATGAGTAAGTCTGTGTATGAGTAAGTCTGGGTATGAGGAGGAGGAGGAGGAGGAGGAGGAGGAGGAGGAGGAGGAGGGAGCAGAAGAAGAAGAGGAAGGAGTAGGAGGCGTCAAAGCAATCACAATAACCCCATCTTAGGATATGGGGGAAAAGAGGCGAGGTGCCTCCGAAAGAGCACGCGCGAGGCCCGAAGCCAAAGCGCACGGGGAAGGGACGTCCCAGGCGATGGCGGGGCACACCCCCGGGGCGCCCTCTATGCGCGATATTCCAAAAGGTCAACAATACTCCCAAAATAGGCCCCAGACTAGTTTGGGAGTATGTTTTGATGATTTTGGCGGTGTGCTTCATTTTTCGTCGAAAATTCCCCTGGAGGGGGACAGGCCCGACTTAAGGTAAGGGACGTCCCAGGCGATGTCAGGGAGGAGGGGGAGGGGGAGGAGGAGGAGGAGGAGGAGGAGGAGGAGGAGGAGGAGAGGAGGAGGAGGAGCAGGAGAGAGGAGGAGCAGGAGGAGGAGGAGGAGGAGGAGGAGCTGGAGGAGGGGGAGGAGGAGGAGGAGGAGGAGGAGGAGGCGAGACGTCCCAGGGACTTAAGGGAAGGGAGGGGGGCGCCCTCTCTGCGCGACAGAGGAGGCGCCGCGGAGCGCCGAGTGCACCGCGGACGGCTGGCGGGAGCTCGCGGGCGGGGAGGCGGAGGCCGCCACCCCCATGAGGGGGGAAAGAGATGCCGATGCCGATGCCGATGCCCTCCTCCCTCCTCCTCCTCCTCCTCTCTCCTCCTCCTCCTCCTCCTCCTCCTCCTCCTCCTCCTCCTCCTGGGCTCGTCGAGTGCTTTCGCTCCGGTCGTCGAGTGCTTTCGCTCCGGTAGTCAATTTCCTGCTCCTCCTCCTCCCTCCTCCCTCCTGCTCCACCTCCTCCTCCTCCTTCCTCCTCTCCTCCTCTCTTCCTCCTCCTCCTCCTCCTCTCCTCTCCTCCTCCTCCTCCTCTCCTCCTCCCTCCTCCTCCTCCTCCTCCTCCTCCTGTTCCTCCTCCTCCTCCTTCTCCTCCTGCTGGCTCGTCGAGTGCTTTAGCTCCGATCGTCAACTTCGAGCATCAGGGGGTTTACCGAAACTGTAGAGGAAACTGTTTACCGAAACTGTTTAGCATCAGGGCGGGGAGGCGGAGGCCGCCACCTACAGGGGGGAAAGATGCCGATGCCGCTGCTGGCTCTTCGAGTGCTCTAGCTTTCTGTCGGGCGTGCCCCCCTACAGGGGGATTTTCGCCATGTTTGGATTATTTTGAGGGTACTTTCAATTTTTCGTAGAAAATCCCCCTGTAGGGGGACAGGCCCGACTTATCTTTAGCTCCGATTGCCAATTTCGAGCACCAGGGAGTACCGAAACTGTAAGGTTTGCACGTGTCGGGCCCTGGGAGGCGATGCTCGTTCGACACGTCGCTAGCGTGTCGGGAGTGCACCGTTGCGATACTTGCTCGGGTGCTCGAAATTGGTTCTGAGGTGTGGTCCTCAAGTACGATGGGAGCAACATAAGAGTACGGTAGGTTCGCGTCGTGTCGACAGGCGGCGACCTCGCCGCAGGCGCTCCACGCGGAGCGCCGCTGGCGACCCAGAATCGGTCGATGTGGAACGAGCGGAAGCTCTCTGAAACGGCCGAGCGTTCGAGGTGGAACGATCCACTCGGTGTCGGATACTAGGGGAGCGAAAAGCGACATAAACATAAGAACTCGGAGGTCCGCGCGGATTTCTCGGATCGGCGCTGGGGACCCCCGGCGGCGCCTCCGGCGCCGCGCCAGGGATGGGGGCCCCAGCGCCGATCCGAGAAATCCGCGCGGTCCTCCGAGTTCTTATGTTTATGTCACTTTTCGTTCCCCTAGATACACCAACGCTGGAGTCTGCACGGCACGAGGCTGCCGTACAACGAAGACGCCGGAAGAAGGGCCGCCCTGGGGTTCGGAAGGGGCTCGCTGTTCCTAAGGTTCTTCTGAGGCTGCTGTTCCCCTGGCCCTCCTCGTGCACGCAGGCGCTCTTTGGGGCCAGGAAGGGGCGTTGTTCCTTGTTTATCGTTCCTTATTTCAGCAGCCCGACTTCGATTGTAGGAGATGGATTGCAGCAGTGATTCACATCATAATCGCTGTTTCTCCGGGATCCAGGAAGCATAAGCAGAATGTTCAGTAGGTCGACGGATCAGTGCACCTACGTTCGTATTTTTTTGGGGAGGCAAATGAGCTCTGTAGTCCTGACTGTCTCAGTTGCGGCGTTCTCCTCAATTTCGGCCTCCCGGGCCCCTTCAGGCCACGGGGCCGTCCCCAAAAATGATGCGTCAGGGACAAAGAACTGGCCCTGGGGAAGGGGTCGGGACCTCTGGGGCCGCGACTGGAAAAAAGCAGACTGGAGGATGTCTGGGGACCACGATGCCGCTGCTCGCTCTGTAGGGCCCCTCGTCGTCACGGCCAGGTTCTCCCCGAGACTCTGGTTCGAACTCACCCCAGGAGAGATCTGCGACGATGTTGAATGCGGGGTCCCCGGACCCCTTCTTGCGACCGCCTTCTCGCGCACACATGCTGCCATTGCCCGCCTTTCTCTCGAGAAGTGGTCCCAGCACGGTAGCTGATGACGTCTGTCTCTGGTGTTTTGAGCACGTGCTGCGACGATGTTCAATGCGCGCCTCCCAGGGACCGGTTTGTTCTTCCCGGGTCGTTTTCGAAAGGTCCCGGCGCCTGGCGAGGGCCAACCAGAGCAAAAAGCTTCCCGTTGTGATTTTCCACGGCCCGAGGGTGTCTGGGTCTGGGGGGCAGCGCTAATCGAGGCCTCCCAACTGGGGTCGGAGCAGATGTGGCCGGAGGATCGCGCAGCCTCGATGCCTCGGCGATGCAGCGGCGATGTGGGACATATGAGCCCGATTTCTGCTGCGCCCACGTCGCCGATGCCTCGCAGGTGCATAACCGATGCATCGGTGATGCATCGGCGAAGTGGCGTGATCCCCCGATCACATCTATTCGGACCCCGTCTAGGAGGCCTGTGTAGCTAAAGTGAAGTCGGGCCTGTCCCTCCACAGGGGGAATATTCAAACGTGGCCACAACATAGTCTGGGGACCATTTTTTGAGCATTGTCTGGCCATTTTGGGAGCATTTCTGGGGTATTTTTGATTTTTCGTCGAAAAGCCCCCTGTAGGGGGACACGCCCAACTTAAAGCTAAAGGTTTCCTTCCTGCTCTCTCGGGGGCGGCAAAGAGGGGGGTGATGACTAGGGGGGGTGGATATCATGGCGCGGGCCATGATATTTCCCCAGATTTCGTGGCGCCTCTTCTTATTTCATTACGTCCCTGGCCCCCCCGCTGGGCCGCGCACATGCCGCCGGTCATGATTTGCACCCCCCCACTCTTGGACACCCCCCTCTTGGCCGCTCCCGATTCTCCCAGGCCGGCGTCTTCGCGGGCGCGCGCGTGCGCACTCGGCGGCGGGGCTCGGAGGACATCACTGGCGACGAGGGCCTGGTGCGGGCCGTGCTCACCCTCAGCGGGGAGCCGGGCGTGCTGACGCGGGTCTTCTCGGGCCGGAGGAAAGGGGGGGAGATTGGGAAAGCCAGACATCGGGCGTCTCGAAAAAATCGAGACAGAGGTTTTTCATAGTTTTGGCCTCTCGGAGCCCTCGCCGGGCCTCGGGACCGTCCAAAAAACGACTCGGGATGAAAAACCGGTCCCAGGGAAGTGGTCGGGAGGTCGGGGGCTCGCGTCTCGAAGAAAACGAGACGTCGGATGTCTGGGAAAGGGGGGCTTGCGAAATCTGCTGCATGCAGCTGGTTTCGGCCCCGCCGCCGGTCCCATTCCTCGATGCATGGCCGCCTCCCGGCGCCGGGAGGCGCCGGGAAAAGCAGCTACGTGAGCCGATTCTCAACCCCCCCTTTGTTATGCCCCCCTTTCGCCCGGCCCGATCTTCGGGCGAAGATAACTATGCACATGCATCGATTCTGGCCAGGCCCATCTTGGGCCCAGGATCGGTGCATTATGCTTTCCTGGCCAAGGCAGGAGGGCATGTGCACCGATCCTGGGCTCAGGGTGGGCCTGGCCAGAATCGGTGTATGTGCATAGTTCTTCTTCCTCTAGGTCTGGCAGGTGGTCGATCCGGGCACAGGCTGGGCTGCGCGGCTCTGGATTTTAAGTAGTGGCGAAGCGTGTCCTGACTCGCCTATAGTCCTACCGAACAATGTTCTAGGAACCTTTTGTGGTTTCCACGAAATGTTCTTAGAACATTTCTCGTGGAGTCTGTCTTGTTCTATCACATCGGGGTTATGTTCTAAGAACATTGTGTTTGTTCTTATTTTTGGGTTCTAAGAACATTTCGTGGTAGGACTATAGGAATGCCGGGAGGGTCGGTCCCTGCTCAAGGAGTGGCCCTTCCCTTGGAGCCGATGCCCCGATAAAACGCGGAGTGGCCAGTTTGGGGCCACAGTGGAACCCCACGCAAAGAAGCACCCTGCGTGCCTCCAGGGTGCCCTGGGTTTCTGGGGTCTCGATGGTTTGGCGGTGGAAAGCCGTGACGTTCCCACACCAAACACCAATGGATGTCCTGGGGTCCCAGGGTTGGGTTTCTTGTGGAAGGCTTCTCGTGGCCGAGCTCCTACTGTATTCTCGGCTTCTGGGGCCGTCGCAAAATTATTCAGAACGAGTCGCTGGCCCAGCAGAAGTGTTCCAGACCTCTGGGGGTCCGCGCATCGATCAAAATGGAGCGCCTGATGTCTGGGCCGGAGTGACCTCGGTGCGGGCCCACAGTCCGGGCCGCCCAATGGGGGTCGGAGCAGATTGGGTCGGAAGATTGCGCCTTGGCGATGCATCCGCGATGCGGCGCGATCTGGAGCCAGACTTGCTCCGCCCTTCGTGGCCGAGCTCCTACTGTATTCTCGGCTTCTGGGGCCGTCGCAAAATTATTCAGAACGAGTCGCTGGCCCAGCAGAAGTGTTCCAGACCTCTGGGGGTCCGCGCATCGATCAAAATGGAGCGCCTGATGTCTGGGCCGGAGTGACCTCGGTGCGGGCCCACAGTCCGGGCCGCCCAATGGGGGTCGGAGCAGATTGGGTCGGAAGATTGCGCCTTGGCGATGCATCCGCGATGCGGCGCGATCTGGAGCCAGACTTGCTCCGCCCCGACATCGCCGACGCGCCGCCGACGTATCGGCGATGCGGTGTGATCCTCCGACCCAAATCTACTTCGGTCTCGTCTGGGCGGCCTCCACACGGGCCCCCCCCCCCTCCAGTACTGGCCGGTGCGCTTGGATTTGCCCCTCCTCCCCCGCGCGGCCCCTGAAGCTGTGCGCTGGAGGTCACCCTTGCGTAGGGCCGCGCGTGTAGCCGATGAGGCGGCCTCGAGTACTTCGACTTTTCTGACCACGCCATCATGGTGTCCGTGCCGTGCAACGTGACCGAAGTTGTGCCGCCCGCAGGATAGCACCGCTCTTCCTCCTCCTCCTCCAGCTGGCGGTGGGGAAGTGGGGAAGAGGGGAGGGTGAGGAGCATCAGGATACACATGTATGTATGTATGTATGTATGTATGTATGTATGCATGCATGCATGCATGCATGCATGCATGCATGTATGTATGTATGTATGTATGTATGTATGTATGTATGTATGTATGTATGTATGTATGTATGTATGTATGTATGTATGTATGTATATATAAAACACGTGTATATATACATATACATGTATCGGAGTAGGCCGGGGGAGACCCAGAACTGCTGCCTCAGGTTCGCATGGGAGGCTGGGAAGGCCGGGGGGGCTCCAAGAGGGTTCAGAAGGGGCGGAATATCAGGAGGAATACCAGGAGGACGAATTGGGGAGGAATATCAGGAGGACGAAGAGGGGAAGAGGAGGGGGAAGAGGAGGAGGGACATTGTTCTTGTAATATTATCTTGTTATCTGATTCTCTGGCTCGGGATGGGATGCCGAGGACGAGGAGGGAAGGGGAGCGCAGGATGAAGAGGGCTCGAGGGGAGGAAGGAGGTGAAGTAGGTGAAGGAGCACAAGGAGGGACACACCGAAGAGCGGGGAAGACAGGGAGGAGGAGGAGGAGGAGAAGGAGGAGGAAAAAGAGGAGGAGGATGTGAAGGAACAGGGATCCCTTTCAGGGAAACGCTGACGAGGAAAAGGATTCATATAAGATGATGGGAAGAGGGAGAACGGGAAGAGGATGAGGGTGAGGGGACAGCAGTGGACCAGGGATGATGACGGCGATCACGCTGATGATGATGACGATGACTATTCCGACGACGCCGACGACGACGACCAACAAGATGTTGATGATGCGGGTGATGCTGAAAAGTACGATGACGATGATGGCGATGGTGATCACGATGCTGATGAGAATGGTGAATGATGATTGTTGTGATGGTGATGATGAATGTGACCATGACCATGGCGATGACGGGGATGAGGATGACAATGATGAGGATGATCCTGGCCCTAGCTAGAACTTGAGCGCGCGCGAAGCGCGCGATGGTTTTAGTATGTATAGATCCTCCAAAGATGGGGAGAGGGTCCCGGGGCCCCCAGAGTGTACTGCTTTCTCTTCCGGCCGTTTTGGACTTGGCGGGGGTGCCAGACTGCGTCAAAGGAGGGGAAGGGGGGGCGACGAGAGGGCCCGAGAGACGTCCAAGAGGGCGCCAAAATGGCCCAAGAGCGCTCCAAGAGAGCTTAAGACCGCACATGAACGTTTCAAAATTGGTCCACCATGGCTTGAAGACAGCCCAAGACGGCTCCAAGATGGCCAATATGCCTCAGGACTCCAACGAGGCACTCGGGAGGCGAAACAAATAGGTTCTTTTGCTATGGTCTTGGAAGGCTTTTCGTGTTCTCGCTGTTTCGTGCTTCCGACAGTCCAAGAATAGCCCACGAGGCCCCAAACATCAGCCCAGGACGGCCCAGAAGGCACCCCAAAAAGAGGGCGCCACCACGTCGCAGGAGAGCCCCCCAAAACAGCCCAAGAGTGCCCCAAGACGGCCCACGAGGGGCCCAAGATCGCCCACGAGGGCCCCAAGACGTCCTGTTTCCCCTGTCGCTCTCGGCTTCCAGGCCCCCGGGCCGTGGGAAAACGTCGCGGGAGGAGGAGCTCGTCCCAGCGGAGGAGCCCCCCGGAGTCCAGGGCCACCGTTTCTGTTGGGGCCCGCCTCCTTCGCGTCAGCTCGCGTGTCCTTGGTTTCCCCTCGGGGGGGAGGATATCTTCGTTGGGATGCAACTCCTGGGAGGTCAGAGTCTGATTTTGCACTGGTCCCAAGTCCGGCTCAATCTGGCTTAATCCCGCTGAATCCTGTTTAATCCCGCTGAATCCGGCTAATCCGGTTTAATCCCGCTTAGGCCCTTTCTGGCGTAATAGCTTCCAAATGGGGCTTAATATTCCTTAATCATTCCAGCGAAAACCTCCCAGTAGTTGCCTCCTAATTTTCGGACCGTTTAGGAGCCACTTCGGACTGATTGCAACAACTGGCAACGGACTGAGCGCAGCGCGAACGACTCCTGGTGTAATCCTGCAAGGCGAACGCCACGTTACAACCAGAGGAGCTGGCTTCAGCCTCCAAGGGCTTGGGGGATGCTCGAGGATTCTTGGAGATTCGCAGGGCTTCAGCTGCCCAGGGCTAGCGGGGGCAGGGGCGTAAAGGCTCGATGCCGGAGGTCCCCCCCCGCACCGAGGACGGGTGCCCCCCCCGTCGTGGCATCCCGAGTTTGGCCAGCCCCCCTCTAGGTCGGAGGGAGGAGGAGCGATACCAACACCACCAGGGGGCCCACCTCCAGCCAGGAGGTCCACGACGCCTCCCCGAGCTGGATGCTGGGGGTGTCTCGAGCGATAGGGAGGGGGGGGACCGCACCACCAGGGAGACCTCCCTCTCTCCTCGCACCTCCTCGCCCTGTTGGTGCTGGTGTCGCCTTCCCTCGTCCCTACCAAGTGTTGCCCGTTCCGACTGGTTGTCGGGCCTGTCCCTCTGCAGGAGGAAAATTCAAACATAGTCAACAAATAGTCTGGGGACGGTTTTTTTTTGACTATGTTTGAACATTTTGGGGCACTCTTTGACTATTTTTTTTTGTTTGTCCAAATTTCGGGGGTGGACAGAACCCCCAACAGTGACACGTCGATTAGTGAATTGTCCGTTTTCGGTTCTCGAGATGGCGCCGTGGCCGTGATTTCCCAGGCCTGCGCCCGCCAGGTTTGGGCCTCAGGTCGTCTTCACTAAACCACGTGAAACTAATTCCCGAAAATCGGGCGAAGAGAACTATGCACATGCACCGATCCTGGCAAGGCCCATCTTTGACCCAGGATCGGTGCATATGCCTTCCTGGCCAAGGTAGGAGGGCGTATGCACCGATCCTGGGCTCAGGATGGGCCTGGCCAGAATCGGTGCATGTGCATAGTTCTCTTCCCTCTAGAAAAATCCCCCTGTAGAGAGGACAGGCCCGACGCAAGCGCCGCCCCTTCCGACGGGGGGGGGGGGGGCCGGCCCGCCCCGGCGAGCGCCCTGGCGCCCCCCGCGCGCACAGGAGCGCGGGGGCCCGCGGAGGAGGGCGAGGGCGGGCCCCCGGACGCGGGCCGCGCCGCGGAGGGCCGGAGGTGCCGGGCGCTGCTCGAAGCCCCGCCATACTCGGGCCGGACGAAAGGGGGGGATAGGGACCCTGACCTTCCAGGAGGGCTAAAAAATAGCACCCGACCTAAAAACCTATCCCAGAGCTATTATACGTCTTGGTTTTAGGCTGTTTTGCTCAGCTTTTTAGGTTTTTAGGTCTCCAGTGCTAAAAAGTAGCTCTCTGGAAGGTCAGGGGAAAGGAATCGGGGGTGGACAGACCTCCTACCCTGACACGTCGATTCAGGAATTGGCCGTTTTCGGTTCCCGAGAGGGCGTCGAAACAAGAAATGCTGCAAAAAGATGGCAAAAAGGAAATGACGCAGAAATGACGCAAAAAGGAACCCCGCCGTATTCGGGCCGGACGAAAAGGGGGGATCGGGTTATGTCGGGCGTGTCCCCCTGCAGGGGGGATTGTCGACGAAAAAATAGAAATACCCCAAAGATATCCCAAAAAGGTAAAAAAATAGTCAAAAAATAGTCCCCTGATTATTTTTGGGATATTATTTCGATTATTTTTTATGTACTTTTTTACATTTTTTTCGTCAAAAATCCCCCAGTAGGGGGACAGGCCCGACTTAAGGATAGGGAAAGGGGGGGTACGAAATCTGCTGCATGCAGCTGGTTTCGGCCCCGCCGCCGGGGGGCCCATGCCTCGATGCATGGGCGCCTCCTGGCGCCGGGAGGCGCCCACCATGAGGGGAACAAAAAGTGACATAAACATAAGAACTCGGAGGTCCGCGCGGATTTCTCGGATCGGCGCTGGGGCCCCCGGCGGCGCCCCCGGCGCCGCCCCTGCCGCGCTCCGCGCGCCAGGGAGGGGGGTCCAGCGCCGATCCGAGAAATCCGCGCGGACCTCGGAGGTTTTATGTTTATGTCACTTTTTGTTCCCCTACGAGCGCGTTCCACCACTCGCAAAGTGCTCACTCGCAAACGTCCGAGAATCACATGTTGGCATCGATGTAGTCTATCGTGGACCCCCCGTGGCCGATCCAGGCCATCTGCGAGTAGTCACTCTGCCAGTCGTGGAGCGCGCCGGTCTGACCATGCCCACCCAGGCCCCCTTGAGCCAGGACAAAAAGATCACGACGGAAGGTGACTGGCCATTTTCAGCCTCTGGGAGCCCTTGCCGGGCCACGGGGGCGTCAAAGAAGGCCTCGGGATGAGAATCGGGTCTCGGGGAAAGCGTGGAGACCTCTCGGGATCGAGGTTCCGAACAAATCATGGCGTCGGGGGGTCTGGGCACCCAGACGTCCGAGGATGTGTTTTCTTTCAGTCCTGGCGTTTTTCCTTCATTTCGGCCTGTTGGTTCGTTCTCGGCCCCGGGACCATCAAACATGGATCCGGAACGAATCCCCTGACCTTCCAGAGAGCTATTTTTTATCACTGGAGACCTAAAAACCTAAAAAGCTGAGCGGAACAGCCTAAAACCAAGACGTAGAATAGCTTTGGGATCGGTTTTTAAGTCGGGTGCTATGTTTTTAGCCCTCCTGGAAGGTCAGGGTCATTATCCCCAGGGAAAAGGAGTGCGGAGCTCTGGCCCCGCACACGGAAAAATCATGTCAGATCAGATGTTGGAGGCTGGTAGGACTCACAAGAGCAAAGGGTGGCGATACCGCTACTCCAGATCTCGTAATAAAGGGAGGGGGGTCTCATTTCGGGGGGGGTCTCTTCCAGGCTATCTTGGAGGGCCTGGGGTGGTCTGGGGACGATGTCTTGGAGGGATCTCCCACGGCGGGGGGTCTGAAATGGCTTGTCCTGGAGGGTCCAGACCCCCTCCCTTCTATTACGAAATCTGGAGTACACTTGCCTCGTTTCCACCCTCCTGGGCCTGCTGGAAGGCCCTCGTCGCCACCGCTGGAGTCGCTTCGAAGGAGAGGTCTGCGGAGAAAGAAGCCGTACCGGTTCCTTTTTGCTGGCTTCCCCAGATAGGGCCCCAGCCCTGGCAGGTCGATCAGCGACTTGCTGTGCCCTGAGATCCTGATATCGCAACTTTTGCGAGCCGGGCGTTTGCGCCGGGGTTTCGGGCCCTGTATGGGACCCTCATCGATCTGGCAACAAAAAAACGATGCAAAAAGATAGGGTCCGGGGCTCCAGTCGTGATTGTTGTCGGGCCGACCGAAAGGGGGGGATAGGGAAAGGGGGGGTCACGAAATCTGCTGCATGCAGCTGGTTTCGGCCCCGCCGCCGGGCCCACTCCTCGATACGTTGGCGCCTCCCGGCGCCAGAAGGCGCCCGGCAAATCAGCTACGTGAGAGCTGATTCTCACCCCCCCCTTTGCAATCCCCCCCTTTCGCCCGGCCCGATGTTAGCGATGCGGCAATTGTTCAGGAGGGGAAACAACACACAGACACAATGAATCGTCGATTCCTAAGAAAAGATGGGAAAATGTGGGAAGTGGGGGGGAAGACAAACACTCAGAAAATATTGGAAAATATGGGGAATATTTTGATATGTGTGTACTCCAGATTTCGTAATAAAGAGAGGGGGGACTCATTTCGGGGGGGGGGTCTCTTCCAGGCTATCTTGCAGGGCCTGGGGGGGTCTGGGGACGATGTTTTGGAGGGATCTCCCACGGGGGGGGGGTCTGCAATGGCTTGTCTTGGAGGGTCCAGACCCCCTCCCTTTTATTACGAAATCCGGAGTATTTGTTTGTGTGTCCTGGGGCCCCTCCAACTGCTTCCCAACGTCGGACCTCACGGTTTGTCCGCTCTCGGGAAGGCGCCGCGGCCCGCGCTCCTTTTGCAGGCCGGCCGGCGCCCGCCGCGTCTGGCTCGGGGGACCGCCTCTCCGTCGGGAGGGTGTTCTGCCGTCAGGAGGGGGAAAACACACACACAAAGACACCATTCCTCGTCGATGCCCTGGAAGAGATGGGAAGATGTGGGAAGTGGGGGGGAAGACGAGGACCCCGAAAATATGGGAAAGCATGGGGAGTCCTGCCATTTGTGTGTGTGTGTATATATATATATATATATACACTTGCGTGTCCCAGGGCCCCTTCATGCCAGGGAGGTCGGGGCGGCGGCCAGGAGGGGGCTGCTGGCCAGGGGCGCGCGGGCATCCGGGCCGCGGCCGCGACGAGAGTTCCCCGGCTGGCATGGCCCCCACCCCCTCTGCCTGTCTCGGCACGTCCTCTGCCCCTCCCTCCCCCTTCGCCCGCGCACCCGCCTCGGGCCCCTCCGCTTCGCGAAGCTTCCATCGTGGGCCGGGTATGGCCAAGACCCCAGGTAAGGGGATCGGAGGTTGATAGACCTCCCATCCTGACACGTCGATTAGCGAATTGGCCGTTTTCGGTTCGCGAGGGGGCGTCGCGGCCGTCATTTTTGGGGGTCCAGGTCCGTCGGTTTCGGTCCCAGGCCGTTTTCACTAAAGGGATGTTTACGAAAGGGAGGCTTGTCCACCGCCGAGGGGACCCAATTAGTGGTAGGGCCCTGGACCCCCTAAATTTGCCAGAATCACTAAACCAGGCCTGCCGTAGCTGGTGTTTTCTCGGGTGGCGGCAGCTCCGGTAGTGGAACAGGGTGGGGGGGCGTCCCCCAGTAAACATCACTAAACCAGGTCCCACGAAACCGCCCGAGCGGGGGCCGCGGGGGCACCAACCTGGCACCTGGCACCGTGCGTGCAGTGGTGCCCGGGGGTGCGGCCCGTCTCCCAATCCCACCGCCATGAAGTCCCTGAAGACGGGATGGGGTGGGCACGAGTGGGCATCTGTGGCCGGCTCAAAATCACAAGCGGCATCGTGGCGTCATCGCTGACCGTTCTCATTGGCACTCGTTTCGCGCGTGGCAGCATGCTCCCCTCTCCTTGCCTTGGATGCCCCCGAAGGGTGGCCTCCCCACCCACGGAAGGTGGCCGCTGTGCGTGGAAGCCAACGTCGCGCTGCCCTCCAGCAACGGGACAGGCCTGGCCCCCTCGCGGGCGAGTTTCCGCCCCCAATCGCCCAACGATCGCCGACGGGGGCCCGAGGACCCGCTCCGCCTGGGGATTTGCGGCCGCGCGGGCCTGTCCCCCTACAGGGGGATTTTCGACGAAAAATAAAACATGCCCCAGGAATATTCCAAAAATAGTCCCCCCCACCAAAAAAGTCTGGGGACTATTTTTTGGTTTTGTTTTGTTTTACACTTTTGGGTTTTTTGGGGGGTATTTTTTTCCGTCGAAAATCCCCATGTAGGGGGACAGGCCCGACATAACGCTATCGGAGGCCTCTCGCCGATCTGTCGGCGACGCATCGCCGATCCCAGGTCCATGTTTCACCCCTTCCCTGGGACGGCCCCGCCCCCTAACAGTCTCCCCCTCAGCCCCGAGCAAGTCTTGCCGTTCGGAGAAGAGGGGGAATGTGAGGAGTAGGTGCACCCCCAGGGGGCTATCCGGACGCACCCGTATCGAGGGCGGTTCCCTCCCGCCGTGACTCCCCGAGATTGGCCCCGAATTTTCTGGCCCAGTCGAAGGCCCCCAAAAGTCGTGGATTGGGGTCGCCATGTCACCTCGGCACAAACGGAAGGGTCTCTCGGCTTCCGGGCCCGGGGCCGTGGTAAAACGGTGCGGGAGGAAGAGTTCGTCCCAGCGGGAAAGCCCCTGGGTCCACGGCCCCCGTTTCCGTTGGGGCCCGCCTCTTTCACGGCAGCTCCCGTGTCCTTGGCACCTCTTGAGGGGGAGAATATGACCGACCCCAACCGCTCCGGACCGATGAGGAGCCACTTCGGACTGATTATTAACACTGGAGACGCACTGTTCGCAACGTGCATGATTCCTCATGTAATCCTACAGTGCGAACGCCGGATTACAACCAGGGGCGTTTGCTTCAGCTTGCCAGGGCTTGTGAGGACTCCTGGAGGATTCTTAAAGGATTCGTGAAGGATTTCCGAAGGATCCATGAAGGATTTTCTTGACGAATTCGTGCAAGGATTCCTCAAGTATTTCGTCAGGATTCCTGAGGGTTTCCTCAAGGATTCCTGAAGGACTCCTGAAGGATTCCTGAAGGATTCCTGAAGGAGTCCCGACGGTTCCCTGGAGGAGTCTTGACAAAGATTCCTGAAGGTTTCATGCAGGATCTCTGAAGGATTACAGCAGGATTCCTGAAGGATTCCTGCGGGACTCCTAACGGATGTTTGGAGGATTCCTGAAGGATTCTGCAGGTTTCCCGCTAGCTTCTGGAGGCTTCCCGGCCGATTTTTTCAGACTATCAGAAGGATTATTGATGAATCCGATTTTTCAGATTTTCAAAAGGATTCTTGATACATCCTGAAGGATTCTTGGAGGCTCCTGAGGAATTCTTTCATGATTCCGGCAGAATGCTTGAGGATTCTTGAGAGTTGTTTTGCAGATTACTCGAGGATTCCGGAAGGATTCCCAAAGGATCCTTGAACGGTCCTTGAAGATGTTGCATGATGTTTGTTGGATTTTTGGGCATTTGTTATGGAATTCTGATGATTGTTGAAGGATTCGTGATGATGCCTGAATGATTCTTGAGGGTCCTGAAGTTTTCCTGCAGGATTCCTGAAGGATTCTTGCGGGATTCTTCTACGATTCCTGCAGGATCCCTTAGGATTCCCGAAGGATTCCCGAAGAATTCCTGAACGATGCTTAACGGATTCCTAACAGAAGCTCCCCATATTTCTTTTCTGTTCGTGGCTCGGTTTCATCCAGGGCGCCTGTCGGGCCCAAACAGGCCTCCATGGGCCAGAGGACGAAACGGGCCTCCAGGGGCCAGATGACGTCATCTGGTGGCGTCGTCACTCCTCATGCGTTCTCCGTCGTGGTCGTGCTGTCAGTCGTCGGTCTTCAGTGGTCCATCGTCGTCGTGCTCTCTCGCGTGCGCGCCGCCGCCCGTAGGAGATGCGAAGACAGGGATGTGTAGGATGTGTAGGATGAGGAGGACGATGAGGAGGAAAAATGGATAGGAGGAGGAGGAGGAGGAGGAGGAGGAGGAGGAGGAGGAGGAGGAGGAGGAGGAGGAGGAGGAGGAAGGGAAAAGGGAGGAGGAGGAGGAAGGGAAGAGGGAGGAGGAGGAGGAGGAGGAGGAGGAGGAGGACCATTTGGAGGAGGAGGGGGGATGAGGAGGACTGCATGATGAATGTGATGATGTTGATGATGATGATGATGATGATGATGATGATGATGATGATGATGATGATGATGATGATGATGATGATGATGATGATGATGATGATGGCCATGATCATTATGATGATGGTGATGATGGTAAGTGTACTGCTGATGGTGGTGGTGAAGGTGGTTGTGATGATGATTGGGGATAATGAGGGCGACGCGGGGCATGACGGGGGAATTGCAAACATGGAGGAGGAGATGTTGGAGGAAATGGACGGGCAACAAGGAGGAGGAGAAGCACATTGAGGATAGCATGGGTCGGAGCTGATGATGATGGTTGTTGTGGCGATCTTGTTGATGATGGTGGTGGTGTTGGTGATGGTGACGTTGATGGTGATGATGAGATTGACGATGCTTATGATGCTGATGATGACGACGAGATGCTTATGATGAAGAGGATGATGATGATGTTGATGCTGATGCTGCTGGTGATGATGATGATGGTAATGATGATACGACGATGCTGTCTATGATGATGCATGGTAATGGTGATGCTGATGCTGATTATGATCAGATGACGGTGGTGAACAGTAGTAGGGGGATTTAAATTGTGATGCTCAGGCTGACGATTGTCATAGTGATGCTGGTGATACCGTCGATGGTGATGATAGCTCATACCTAGTGGCCTTCGGTCCATCCCGCCTCCGTGTCGGGGTTGTGTGTCAGAGGCCTCTGGGGATACGATTTAGGGTCTCGTGGGAAGCCTCTGGAAAGCTTCTTCTGGGAGGCACTTCTGAGGCCTGCTGAAGCCTTCTGGGGCTCTTGTGGGTCTCTGGGGCCCGTCTTGGGGCCTCCTCGGGGCCTCTGCGGAGCCCGGTCGAGAGATCATTTCCACGGTCGAGCTAAAGTACATGTGTTTTGTCGTTTTGCAGAGATCACGGTCGAGGTGGCGAACCGTCGGCGATCAGACGCATCACAAATGCTTTTTCAAATTTCAGCCGAAAGGCTTGAGGGAGCTCGCTGCATCCATAAGCGCTCTTATGCTTCCTCCCTTCGTCGGCAGCTGATTGAGGCGTCCCAAAAGCGTCGCAACCACGTCGGACCGATCTCAACCGGTTGCCGTCGGTCCGAAGTGGTTGCGATCGGTCATGCTCCCGGGGGGGGGGGGTCGAGCGGGGGCGCAAGGCTCTGAAAGGGTCACGTGGGGGTCGAAGAGCTGCGCGCCGGAATCTCGCGCCTTCCCCGCGGCCCCGGCGCGACCGCTGCGCGACCCTCGCGCGGACTCTGTGGCCGCGCCGCCGGGGCGCTGAGTTGCAATAGGGTTGGCGCTGGGACCCGTTTCCGTCGGGACCCGTTTCCCTCACGGCAGCTCTTGTGCTCCCGGTCTCCGCTCGGAGGGGTGGGTGAAATTTAGGGGGTCGGATCGCACGCACCGGCAAACCAACCTCAAGTCGGGCATTTCCCTCTACAGGAGGAATGTTCAAGAACAGTAACATGTTGCTTTGGTGGCGATGTGTCTTGCTTTTCTGTTGGGTGGCGATGCTTGATGATTGCTTGCCTAGCTTAAAGACTCTTCTTCCAAAATCCGCCTGCAGAAGGACATGCCCGATCTCACACCAATCTTGCCTGGGCGAGGCCAGCCCGGGGCCCCTGCCTGGTGCGCGCACCCTCGCGACCAGGCCAGGAATCGGGGGCCCCCGAAGGGGGTGGTGACCACACCCTGCGCTGAGTCGGTGGGGATCCGGGGCCACCGCACGGTTTTGGGACTCGAGGCCTTCTCCGAGGACGTGTCGGGCGACTGGGGCCTCCGGGGTCCCAACAAACAGTGCGGTGACGGACCGTGCGGTGGGGTCTTGGGGGGATGTCGATGTCACCGCACGGTCTGTCACCGCACCGCTTCGGGACCCCCAAAGGAAGGGCGTCGTGCGCACCGGGGGGGACGGGGGCTCGGATCGCGCGCACCGGCACAACACCACTCTCGAGTCGGGCATGCTCCTCGGGTACAGGAGGGATGCTCAAGAATAGCTGGAGGACCTGCCCGACCTCACACCAATCTTGGCTGGACGAAGCCAGTCGAGGGCCCCGGCCTGGTGCGCACACCTTCGCGATCAGGCCCAAGACGGGCGTCGTGCGCACCCAAGCCGCTTGAGGACCAAGGGTGGTGAGCGGGTTCCCTAATAACCCCCCGCCGGGCCAGCAGAGTAGACAGCGCTGTTGATTCCATCTCCTCCCATTCATCTCTTGCGTGTGCGGGAGGAGGGGACCCAGACCCCCAACGTTCACTTTGGAGGTCTCGACCCATTCCCCCCAGGACTTGTTTTTCATCCCGAGTCGTTCTTTCACGGTCCCGAGGCCCGGTAAGAAGGGCCCCCCGAGACCCAAAATAGTAAGCAACTTTGCGTCGTGATTTGTTTCACGACTCGAGGGGGGTCTGGGGATGAGGGGTGGGGGGGGGTCGCGCGCACCAGCACACCAATCTCAAGTCGGGCATGTCCCTCTACAGGGGGAATGCTCAAGAATAGTAAACTTGTTGGTTTGGTGACGAGTTGTTCTGCTTTTTTGTTTGGGGGGCTATATGTTTGAGCATGTCCTGCCTGTCCAAAACTCTCCTTCCCAAATCCACCAATCGCCAATCTTGGCTGGGCGAGGCCAATCCAAAACTCTCCTTCCAAAACTCTCCTTCCAAAATCCAAGAGCACTTCTTTCAGGAGGGGAAAAAACACACAGACACAATTTTAATCGTCCACTCCCAGGAAATATAGGAAAATCAGGGAAGTGGGGGGAAAGACAAGAACCCAGGAAATATGGGAAAAGATCGGGAATCTTCTTATTTGTGTGTATTTCTGTGTGTGTCCTGGGGCCCCTTGATTCTTGCCTACCCAAAACTCTCCTTCCCAAATCCACCAACCACCAATCCTGGCTGGACGAGGCCCCTCCAGGGGCCCCCCCCGGCCCGGCGTGCGCACGCCCCCGCGCCCCCCGGGCCAAGGAGGAAGGGCATCGTGCGCACCGCTGCCGTGCTCTCCTGGCCTCTCCCCCCCTGGGAGGCATGGCTGGACCTCAACGCTGTCTTGCTCCTCCTCCTCCTCCTCCTCCTCCTCCTCCTCCTCCTCCTCCTCCTCCCTCCCCTCCCCCCCTCCTCCTCTCCTCTCCTCCTCCCTCCTCCTCCTCCTCCTCCTCCTCCTCCTCCTCCAATGATCTCTCCCTTTCCCTCCTCCGCCCTGGCAGCCTCGACCCTCCAAGCCTTCCTTTTCCCCCCCTCTCCACATGCGAACCCTACCCCTGCCCCCTGCCCCCCCCCCCCCCCCCTTTTTTTGAGGGGGAGGGGAGGGTTCACTTCGCTCGGGAGCTCCCGAACGAAGTGAGCCCCACCCTCCCCCTCGTGGGGGGTAGGGGTAGGGTTCGCATGTGGCCTCCATATGGGCTTCGGCTGCGTCTTGTTTTTCGTTCTGGCAGGGAGGCGCAGGAGAGCAGGCAGAGCAAACCGACACAAACTGATGATGCTCCAACCTACTTCAGCCCTGATCACCAGGAGGAATCTCGAGCGCCCCAAAAGTGCCGAAACGCACGGGTTTCCACGTGTCGGGCCCTGGGAGACACTCGCCCGACACTGTTTCGACGCTCTTTTGATACTTTTCTGGGCGCTCGACATTATTCCTTGGATGCGGTCCTCAAGTAGGATGGGAGCAACATAAACCTAAGCGCTGTTTTGCTGGACTTCAGCTGTGTCTTGTTTTTCCCTTCTGGCAGGGAGGCGCAGGAGAGCAGGCAGAGCAAACCGACACACACACACACACACAATACGAGACCAGAACGAGAAACAGCGTTCCGGTCCAGCCCTGCTGGGAGGGGGGTGGGAGGAGGGGCAGCATGCCGATGCCCCTCCGCAGTCGCTCCGCAGTTCTTGTCAGCCTCTCCTGGGCCTCACGGCCAGGATGCGCTTCGGACTCGCAGTCAGAGACCCCCCCCCCACCTCGGGGGTGGGAGGGGGGAGGGAAGCGGGAGGGGGGCATGGAGGGGGGGTCTGATCGCACGCTCTAGCACACCAATCGTGGCTGAGTCCCGGGCCCCGGCCCGGTGCGCCCGCCCCTTGCGGCCAGACCAAGGGCGGGTTTAGAAGCTCCGCAGTTTTTTGATGGCCTCTCCCGGGCCTCCCGGCCAGGATTCGCTTCGGAATCGCACGCAGAGCCCCCCCCCCTGGGGAGAGGCCCAGGGCGTCGTGGTGTGCAGCTGGTTTCGGCCCCGCTGCCAGGAGCTTTCATCAGCTATACGCAAGCTGATTTGTGACCCGCCCTCTTGCTATCTCCCCTCCTTTTGTCCGATCCAGCAGCTTTCGTGGGCCTCACGGCCCCAGGATTCGCCTCGGAGGCACAGTCAGGGAGCCCCCCCCCCTCGGGGAGAGGCCTAGGGAGCTGTGGTGTCGGTGTCCAGCTGCCTGAGGGAAGGGCGCCCTCGAGGGCGCGAAGTTATTCGCGCTTCGCGATCCGGCTCCGATTCCTCCTCTTCCTCCCCTTCTCCCCTGGGAGGCGGCGCGAGAGCGCGAAGTTGTTCGCACTTCGCGCTTCGCGCAGCGCGAGAGCGCGAAGTTGGGAGCCCTTGCTGAGGCAAGTCCCGCCAACGTGCCAGCCCAGCACCTTGGGTGGCCGCTATTCCGGGGGAGCGCAGGAGGCCGTAACGTGTGACTCGGCAGGGGGGGAACAATTGAGTGGACACTCCCCCGCTCCCCCAAACTCCAAGTTGGCACGCGTGGGGGAGACTGCGGACCAAGTGGAAATCATCAGACCCACCGCCAACTTTGAACATTGGGGGGGGGGGAGGCGTTGACGAAGGTTCGTGGGCTCCGCAGCTCGGTTCCACTGTTCTGATGGATTGAGTCTGCGGGCTGCTCCGGCCGCCATGTGGCCGCCGTGTGGCCGCCCCGCCGCTGGCCGTCGCCGCCCGTCGCTCCGGACCCGCCGGCCGCTGCGGCCGCCGTGCGGCCGCCGTCGCCACCGCACTGCCTCGTCGCCGCCCGCCTCCGCACTGCTTCGCGCTCCTTTGCACCTGCTGTGTGTGGCTTCGCATCGTGTTGCACGGTTTTGCGTGTCTGGGCACTGCGCTGCTTTGCACTGCTCCGCACTGCTTCGCAGTGCATCGCTCTGCATTGCCTTGCATGGTTCTGCACTGCGTCGTGCATGGCTCTGCGTTGCGTCGCATTGGTTTGCACTGCCCTGGATTGCGTCGCATTGCTTTGCGCTGCTTTGTTTTGCTTTGCATTGCTCTGCATGGCTTTGCATTACTTTGCATTGTTTTGCGTCTCTTCGGATTGCATTGCATTGCTTTGCATTGCGTTGCATTGATGTATTGCCCGGCATTGCTTCACATGGATTTGCATTGCCTTGCGATGTTTTGCATTGAGTCGCAATGATTCGCATTGCTTGTCAATGCGTTGCAATGTTTTGCATAGTGATGATGTGTGTTGTGTCGTGTTGCCTTGCTTTGCGCTGCTCCGCGTTTCTTTGCTTGTTGCTTTGGTATGATCTGCGTTGTTCTGCAGTTCTTTGCATTGATCCGCGTTGCTTTGCATTGCTTTGCATAGGTCTGCCTTGCTCCGCATTGCTTTGCATTACTTTCCGTTACTGCGCATTGCTTCACATTTCGTTGCATTGGTTTGCATTGCTTTGCATTGTATTGTTGTGCGTTGCCTTGCGCTGATTTCCATTACTTTGTTTTTTTTGTATGGGTCTGCATTGCTTTGCATTAGTTGTCATTGCTTTGCGCTGCTTTGCACAACACAGATTGCACCACAAGGATTGCACCACCTAGATCACGCCTCATTGCATGCACCACCTAGACTGCACCGCATATCGTCAAGAAGTCTCGGCAGGGATCCACGCTGGCTAACATTGCCCACAAGTGAAAAAGGGGGGGGGGCAGCACACTGGGGAGAGCGCTTCGAGAGTGGGGGGGGCATTCACAACAATTGCAGACACTCTACCAGACAGCCCTTGGCATTCCACCACGCGACAACGTGCTAGGGGGGCACGGTGGCCGATATCTATGTTCCCCCCGCGATCTTGTCCCTACAGCAGTAGCAAGCAACAGCTTTAGGCGCCCCTCTGTTGCTGGCAACAGGTGTTAGATTTTCACGCGGGGGCGCTCGACATTCGCCGTCCCCCGGTCGGCATAGAAGAAGGCGCGCTGTGACACGTGCCTGAGAATACCGAGACCCGAGAACGTCTTGGCGCAACGTGTAGCATGGGCCTGGTCAGGACCGGTGCAGTGCATACTCCAGATTTCGTAATAAAAGGGAGGGGGTCTCAACCCTCCCAGACGAAAAGTTTTAGACCCCCCCCGTGGGAGAACCCTCCAAAACATCGTCCCCAGACCCCCCCAGGCCCTCCAAGATGGCCTGGAAGAGACCCCCCCGAAATGAGACCCCCCTCCCTTCATTACGAAATCTGGAGTACTGAAGTTGGCGGTTTCCCTCGCGCGTCGGCGTCGGGGCTGCGCGCCCGATTGCCTGGCAGGTCTGTTCGTCAACTTGCAGGCCCTGGGCATCAGCAGCGGCTGCTTCCAGGACTGCCAGGGCCTCTCTCTCGCCCACTCGCCATGGAGAGAAACGGCTCCGGGGGAGAAATTGGGTCCTGGATCGGGGGCGGAAAAGAGGGGGGTGATGACTAGGGGGGGGTGGATATCATGGCGTGGGCCATGATATTTCCCCAGATCTCATGGCGGCGCTTCTTATTTCATTACGTCCCTGGCCCCCCCGCTGGGCCGCGCACATGCCGCCGGTCATGATTTGCACCCCCCCTCTTGGACACCCCCCTCTTGGCCGCTCCCGAAAATTGGGTTCAGAGGACAGCCCCAGGCTCCAGGGCCCTTTTTTCCCCAGGCCCTCCTTCCCTCACGCCAGAGCTTTGGCGCGGGCGCCGCGTCGAAGAGCGTCGGGCCGCCTTTGCAGACCAGGACGGCAGGTCTGGCAGCTTCACGACACAAAGCCATCCAGATGTGGCCAGGGACTGCCCAAAGCACGACCCAGGATGACGAGGTGGTCCCGGGAAGAGCCCTGGCGTCCAGGACCCGCCGTCTGCCTTCAGGACCCCGTTCCCTTCTCTCTCTCCCCTTGGGCATCTCTCGGACGTGTGCGTTCTTCTCGTTGCCGAGGACCATCGGGGAAAATCTTGGATCAGCTTGCGAACGAAGAAGGATACGAAACCGAAACATGCACGGGGAATGGACGTCCGAGCGATGACAAGTCCCTGACGCCCGGAGGCCGGAGGCTTCTGAGAAAGGCCAGAGGGTTTCTGAGGAGCCGCGCCGCCTTCTGAGACGGCCTTCTCCTTCTCACTTCCCCCCCTCGCTCGCCGCCAAGCACTCCTCGGGGAACAAGCAACGACATCAACGTAAACTGTCGACGGCCCGCTCGGATTTCTCGGATCAGCGCAGATCCAATAAATCCGCGCGGACCTCTGAAACGTTGTTGTGAGTGACAGTCTGCGTTGCCCGAACTTCTCCTGCGCGCAGCGCGGGGGCGCAAAGATGAGCTCGAGGATGCGCGCGTCCAGCGCTGATCCAAGGCTTCCGGGCGGAGCTTCGAATGCTTATGCTGATGCCCTGTGTTGCTCCCCCCAGGCTTCTCATCCCCCGTTCTGTCTTTTCAAGCCGTGGCCCCAGAGCTCCCGACCCCTTCCCCGTGGGTAGCTCTTCGTCGCGGATCCACTGTCGACGGCCCCAGGAGGGCACGATGGCAGGTCCCGCGGCTGCCGACGTCGAGGAGAAAACGCCGGGATTGGAGCAAACCATACAGTGGGGGCGTTCGTGAAGGGCTACAGTCGGGGCCCTGAAGAAGGAACCCTTTTGGTTGGGGAGGGGCTCCGTGTTCCTTAATTGTTCTGCAGTTTGCTTCCAGTTTTCCTCAGGTTTTCCATGGGAAATCGAAGTTCAACGCATGGGAGAAAGGGGCCCCGTTCCTTATTTAAGGTTCCTTAGGTCAACGCCTCGACTGTATGCCCAAGAGGCGTCAGGCCCTGGATGATTCCCTAACTCCGGGGCGCTCCAGACGGGGCCTCTCGCTCTTTCGAGGGTCGAAAGAATTGCCATATCCGCTGGCGGAAGCTGGCTCCTCCTCCTCCTCTTCTTCCTCCTCCTCCTCCTCCTCCTCCTCCTCCTCCTCCCTCCTCCTCCTCCCTCCTCCTCGCTCCTCCTCGCTCCTCCTCCCTCCTCCTCGCTCCTCCTCGCTCCTCCTCGCTCCTCCTCGCTCCTCCTCGCTCCTCCTCGCTCCTCCTCCTCCTCCTCCTCCTCCTCCTCCTCCTCCTCCTCATCATCATCATCATCATCATCAGCCGCCGTCTCCTGCTCCAGCCCCATTCTTCGCGGCCCAGCAGGCAACCCACGCAGAGCAGCTTCCGCCCCCAGGGCACCCTTCATGTCATGCCAGCGCGGCTGGCCATCTATATTACTTCGCTTGCGATCTTCTGGACGACATTCCTGAGATGGGGCGTGCATAATCCGCTCAGCACGGTCGCGCTACAGAGAAGCATGGAGATTTCGAGACAGTTCAGCGCAGTCGACGTTATCAGTCACTCGTCGGAGGCAGCACGACCCCACCAGCTCCAGACCTACCAGCGCCGCATCTCCAAGAGGGACTATGGCAGTGGCCCTTTCACCAACAATCACGCTGGCGCGGCCATCACGATCAGCAACCGCTTCCGCATCAAGTGTGTGACCGCGCCCCCCAGCCTGCCGCCGTGCATTCAAGGACGCGCAGGAACAGTTCGCCTTCGTCGAGGAGAACCCGACGCGAATTTCATCGCAGCGTCACTACCTCCACGGTCAGGGCTTGCCAAGCACCACAACGCTTGGGCCAAGCCGACCAACGAGACGCTCCAGCGGCTGCGCAAGACCCAGTTCAAGACGCCCACCAGGAGCACGCCGATCATCGGCATAGACCTGAACGACTACTACGGCCGGGACGGATTGCTTCCCGCTACTACCAGCAACGTGATCGGCGACGCAGGCCCTACAGGAATACCTGGAGAGGCAGCTGCAGCCTTCCACAACATGCCCAGCGTGCACACAAACCTCAAGAGGACCACTTGGGACTACGACGAGCAGGCCATGGCCCTCCAGAAGGGCAAGTACCGCAAGGAGTTCAATGACGCGCTGGAGTTCAACTTCGGCAAGCACCAGGACAAGCTGAAGGAGTTGGTCGGGGACAACACAGTGGATGAACACGGGGAGCTCATCGTGAACATCACGGAGGAGGCGTCCAAGCCTTTCATCGAGCGCCAGAAGTTCAAGCTCGACCAGTACTACCAGCTCAAGGAGGAACTTCTGCGGCTACTTCAGGCGCGCGCCAAGCTTAAAGAGGAGTACATCGGGACCGACCCCAACTACGAGATCGAGTACCAGATCCAGGTCCTCTCACGTGCCCTCAAGAAGCTGAAGCGCCAGCATGAAGCAGAACGAAGACAACACCCCGAGGCGCACATCTACGAGGCCTGGCAACGACGAGAATACGCAGAAGCACATCAACTGTCTCGACTCATGGGTTGCACCAAATACGGCAAGTGCAACCGCAAGTGCAGCCGCGCGACCAGAGCACGCCCCAGCCTGCAGGAGTGGGCAGATCACATTGCACCAGACGGACTGCATGGAGGGCTCAGAGCTCACCAGATCGACCTCGAGGAGGAGAAGCGCATCTTGAAAGAGAACACTCAAGAGTTCACTACCGAACACTACCTACAAGCACGCCAGGAATATGAGGACGCCAAGGGCGGCGTCAAGCGAGTACTCTACGGCGTCACCAAGCAGCTCAAGTACCTCAAGAAGCGCACCTCCGTGCCAGACTGGTCACTGTCCGCCGAGATCTTCCAGATGACCTTCCAGCCCACCTACATCATCAAGCAGAAGGCGAAGACGACAGGCGTGGGCTATGACGACGAGCTCGCTGAGGCTCCCCCCGCGCAGGAGAGCTTCGAATCAGTCCTCAACCACGAGTGCCGCGTCGGCTTCGCCCCACCCAACGCCAACCACAGCCAGAGCCTCGCCCTCGACAAGAAGAACGGCAAGCCCGCGGCCCTCGGCTTGCGCATGCTCCACACGCCGTGCCCCTTTGGGCGCTGCTTCCACAGACAGCTTCAGCGAAAGTCCAAGCCGTGGTCACCTCCACCTCATGCTCACGGCTGCTGGCCTCATTGGTGTCGCAAAGTTCCCATACGACGCCTACGTCGAGTCGGAGAAGCCTACCAGAGCAAGTGCGACCCCAAGCTGCAGAAGTTGAGCACGGTGCTGATCAAGCAAGTGCAGACCAACACTCAGCAGATCGCCAGGGCCGTTCCCGCGGACTACAGCACGTATTCGACGCCGACCCCGACCAAGGTGATCAAGGCGCTCCGAGCCTGCAGCAATATCTACGAGGACAAGTGCAAGGAGGTGGGCAAGGAACAATCGCTCGGACCACCAGAAGGACACCTCTTCGCCACGCTTATTTCGACCCCCTGCTCCGCGGAAGTGGGCGCCAAGACCAATAGCTTTCTCACAGTGCACGGGAAGTTCGTGGACCAGGTCAGCGTGGCGACCGACCTCAACAAGGTGAAGCACCTGAAGATCAGCAAGTGCTTCGACAGTAACCTGGTGAAGATCACACCGTTCTTAGAGCAGGGGCCCTGGACCGACGAGGAGGCCGAGGCGGATCCTCCACTGGAGCAGAAGCAGCAGATCTACATCAAGGGCAGCACCCACAGAGCGCAGCTCCAAGCGGAAGCTACGGTCAAGACTGGCAAACCACCAGCGGGAGTCACGGAGGACGAGCTGGCTGAGTGGTGGGCAGGGCTACGATTACGAGTATGAGAATATGGATGGCCGACTCGACTACGCCTCGTTCGGCAAGGTGATCGGCGTGCGTGGTGCCGGGATCACAATGAAGGTGCCGCTCTGAGCGGCGACGGCGGGGGCCCATCCTTGCGGCCGATTGCACTGCCTTGCCCCCCAATGCCGCTCTATCTATCTATCTACCTCCTCCTCCTCCTTCTCCTCCCTCCCTCCCCCCCTCCCTCCCCCCCTCCCTCCCTCCGCCAGCGGAAGGCGGCGGAGGGCCGGCGGGAGTCGGCGGAAGCAGAAGTTGACCTCCCAAGAGATATGACAATCTTTTTGGGTTCAGAGTTTCTGGAATCCGCCATCCGAGGAGGGCGGCGGTAATATCCATGGCCTACCTTCTAGTGGAGGTCCACCGGCTTCCAGACCATGGGTTCCTTCTCCAATGGTTCCTTATCCGACTCTAGGCCTCCTGGTTGGGGTCGGAGAAGATGGGGTCGGAGGATCGCGCCGCACCGCCGATGCATCGGCGATGCATCAGCGACGCGGCTCGTCGTGGGGCCCGATTTTTTCCACGCCGACGTCGTCGGTGCATCGCCGACGTCGCCAGGGCATGGCCGATGCATCGCCGAGGCATCGGCGACGCATCGCCGACGCATCGGCGATGCGGCGAGAGCCTCCGACCCCATCTGCTCGGACCCCATCTCTGGGTGGTCTCTGCCGATGTCCCCGCCGCGTCGGCGGTGCTCTGGGCGCCCTTTTCGTGCCGAGTGGCCGGGCCCCCCCGCCCCCCCGTGCGGCAGAGCCCCCCCCCCCCAGGCCAGCCACAATTGGGGAAGCCTGTGGTCCTTACCTCCCTGGGGGGACCCATCGCTTTCGATGCCCCTCTCGAGAGGTCGTGGCTGGTCGGCCCCCCGGGGCCCCGCAGGACGACTGCTCCCACTCGGACCACTTCGCCTGCGCCTCCCCCGCGGAGTGCGCGCGCGCGTGCGCCGGGGCCCCGGTGTGCGCGGCGCCGGCCGGCCCGGCCGGCTGGCCAGGGCCCTGCACGGCTCTGGTCGACTATAGACGTAGGAGTGGCCTTTGGTTCGCCGGAGTGACATTTTGGTGCGGGCGCAGGTGGGTCCCCAGATGGCCGAAAACGAAGCAGGGGCAGCGGCTTGCGCGCCCAGGTTGGGCCCCCCCGCGGCCCCCAAAAAGCCGCGCACCACAGGTCACCCTTACCCAGGGTCACTCCTGCTAGGCCTCCTCTGGGCCCTCCGGCACGGCTCTATAGGCCTCCTATAGTCAAGCAGTGGCGAAGCGTCCTGGTTCGCCTATGGCCCTGCCAAAGAATGTTCTAAGAACCTTTTGTGGTTCCCAGGAAATGTTCTTAGAACATTTCTGGTCGAGACTGTCTTGTTTGAACACATCGGGAATCTGTTCTAAGAACATCGTTTTTGTTATTAGAACATTTCTGGGGTTCTAGGACATAGGAATGCTGGGACGGTCGGTCCCTGCTCAATATAGCTGGGGTCCGAGTAGAGACGTGGTCGGAGGATCGCGCCGCATCGCCGATGCATCGACGGTGCGGCTCGATGTGGAGCCCGATGTGCGTCACGTCGGCGTCGCCGACGCATCGCCGACGTCGCCGATGCATCGTCGAGGCGTCGTCGATGCCTCGCCGAGGCATCGGCGATGCGGCGCGAGCCTCCGACCCCGTCTCTCCCAAACCCCCGACGTCATGAATTTTTCATGACGTCGACCCCCAGAGGTCCGGACCCATTCCCTGGGACCGGTTTTTCGTCCTGAGTTGTTTTTTGACAGTCCCGAGGGCCGGTAAGGGCCCCAGAGGCCGAAAATCATGAAAAACCTCGCGTCGTGATTTTTTCATAACTCGAGGGGGTCTGGGCTACTCGGACCCCCATCGGGGAGGCTTCTATAGGCGCGGCGCCGGCCAGATCGGCCGGCCGGGGCCGGCACGGCGCGGCGAGGGCGGGCGTGTTGGCTAATATGCCCGGATCTCGCTCTCCGGGGGCGGTTTTGGTTCCGTCCCGGCGGTGTTCCTCGAGGTCGGCCTCCAGGCCCGTCAGTGTGGACCCCAGGGGCAACGCCAGGGGTCAGAGCCCCGAATCATCAGGGGTAACTCGGGTCAGGGATAACTCGGGTTCGTTTTTTCGGGAATCCAAGCCCGAGTTACCCCGGACCCGAGTTACCCCGGATAACTCGGGCGCCCAAAGGGGGGATGGGATCATGGGGCGGACGCGGCGACCCCCGACCGCCCATCGATCGCCGATGGGGGGCCCATCGATCGCCGAATTGCCTCGCCCAGGAACGTGCGTACTCGCTATCGAGGGCGCATCGCCCATGCGTCGGCAGTGCATCGTCGATGTCGTGAAGCGCGGCGCATTCGGCAACGTCGTCATGGTGCAGGCGGAGCTGGCCAAGACTCGGGGGCGGCAAAGAGGGGGGTGATGACTAGGGAGGGTGGATCTCATGGCGGGGGCCATGATTTTTCCCCAGATTCCATGGCGCCTCTTCTTGTTTCATGGCGGCCCTGGCCCCCCCGCTGGGCCGCGCACATGCCGCCGGTCATGATTTGCACCCCCCCCTTTCTTCTTGGACACCCCCCTCTTCCCAGACCCCCGACGTCATGAATTTTTCATGACGTCGACCCCCAGAGGTCCGGACCCATTTCCCCGGACCGGTTTTTCGTCCTGAGTCGTTTTTTGACGGTCCCGAGGGCCGGTAAGGGCCCCCAGAGGCCGAAAATCATGAAAAACCTCGCGCCGTGATTTTTTCATAACTCCAGGGGGTCTGGGTTGGCCGCCCCCGAAAGACCACTGTGCAGGTCTCCCCCGCGAAGGCCCTCTCCAGGACGAGCTCCGAGGGCCCCCCCCTTGTCGGCGGCGGGCCCCCGGCTCCTCGCACGCTGCCTCGGCAGGGGCGGCCGAAAATCATGAAAAACCTCGCGTCGCGATTTTTTCATAACTCGAGGGGGTCTGGGCTCGAGGCTCCCGAGGCCTGACAGCGGCGATCCGCCGGCGGACTCCCGCGTGCACGCCCGCGCTGGTGCCGCCGCCCCTGCCGAGGCAGCGTGCGAGGAGCCGGGGGCCCGCCGCCGACAAGGGGGGGGCCCTCGGAGCTCGTCCTGGAGAGGGCCTTCGCGGGGGAGACCTGCACGGTGGTCTTTCGGGGGCGGCCAACCCAGACCCCCTGGAGTTATGAAAAAATCACGGCGCGAGGTTTTTCATGATTTTCGGCCTCTGGGGGCCCTTACCGGCCCTCGGGACCGTCAAAAAACAACTCAGGACGAAAAACCGGTCCCGGGGAATGGGTCCGGACCTCTGGGGGTCGACGTCATGAAAAATTCATGACGTCGGGGGTCTGGGAGAGACGGGGGTCAATGCAAACGGGGGTCAGCCAGGGCGCCGGATCCTGCAGGATCCTGCGAAGACCCCCTCTTTGGCTGACCCGGGGTAGCGAGCCGCTCGTGGCCGCGAGGCGGCCGCGCCTATGGGCTGACCCGGGTTTGCGAAGACCTGCGTTGCAGTTTTTTTCTCCTGCATTGCAGTTTTTGGTTTCCTGCTGATTTGGGTCTGGATTGACCGGGGTCAGAAGATCCCCGAAGGTCGATGTTCTCCCCTTCAAACAGTGGCGAAGCGTCTTGGCTCGCCTATAGCCATCCCAAGCAATGTTCTAAGAACCCCCCTGTGGTTTCCACGAAAGGTCCTTAGAACATTTCTGGTTGGGACTGTCTTGTTTTATCACATCGGGTTTTTGATGTTCTAAGAACATTGTTTTTGTTCTTAGAACAGCTCTGGGTTCTAAGAACATTCCGTGGTAGGGCGATAGGAATGCCGGGACGGTCGGTCCCTGCTCAACCCCTGAGCTGGTCCCCCCCTCTACGGTGGGGGCCCACGCCAAGAAGCACCCTGCGCGCCTCCAGGGTGCCCCTGAGTTTCCTGGGCGTCGAGGGCCCTGCCGTGGACAGCGTGACGCTCTCACACCAAACATCGATGGACGTCCTTTACCAGCCTGGAACATATCCCTATCCCTATGCTGGGCACCTCCTCATCACGATGCCAATCTTAGGGATTCCCTTATTTTTTGAGGGCGAATCCCTAAGATTGTCATCGCCTTTTGGCGTGTCAATCTTAGGGATAGGGATACGTTCGAGGCTGGTAAGTCCTGGGGTCTCAGGATTGGGTGTCTCGCGGAAGGTTTCCTGTGGCCGGGCCCCTTTCTGACCCTGCACGGGACCGCAGGAAAAAGCAGACCCCGGGCGCAAAACTACCCCCTTCTGGGGGGGAGGGGTCAGGAGTGCGCCGGGGCCGCGGATGGAGAGAAGCTCGCGTCGGAGGGCGTCTGGCTTGCCCCTGGGTGCCCAGAGGCCCAGCGTCCCTGCAACAGCGAGGACGACGCTTCTGTCTCACAGGTTTCGGCCTCTGGGGGGGCCCTTCGCCGGGCGCTCGCTGGGGGGGGGGCCCAGGGCACAACAAAAAGGGTCGGGGGCTCCCCCGTCGCTGGGCCCTCGCTAGGCCCTGTGGGGATGGATGGGATCGTGGCTTCTGGGGAGCCCGTGCTGAAAAAGCGCTGTCAAGCAGTGGCGAAGCGTCCTGGCTCGCCTATAGCCCTACCACACAATGTTCTAATAACCTTTTTGTGGTTTCCACAAAAGGTTCTTCGAACAGTTCTGGCGGAGAGTGTCTTGTTTTATCACGTCGGGTTAATGTTCTGAGAACTTGTTTTTTTCGGAGAACAGTTCTGGGTTCTAAGAACATTTCGTGGTAGGACTATAGGAATGCCGGGACGGTCGGTCCCTGCTCAACATTGGAGGCCGCGCACTGGGGCGGGTGGTGATGCATGGGGAAGCAGAAATGCCTTCTCGGGCCCCTTAGGGAGGCTTCTCGGGCACAAGAGGGAGCCTTTAGGGCCCCCCAAAAGGGTACCGTTCTTCCTCCCCCCCAGTGATCGCCCCCCTTGATTCGCGCCCAGGAGCAACACATCCTGCCCACCCTGAGATCCTGCCCCCGGGGGTCTTCAAAGATCGATCAGGCCCGAGAACTGCCGCAGGGTGATGGGGTCTGGGGCGCTGGTCGCGACTGCCGGCGGTGCGGCGCTGCCCCGATGTTGCTTCGAGCCGTCGGATCTCCTAACGGACCTCTGGTGCCTTGAACAGCTCGCGCCTGCCTGGTCTTGACGTTTTGCAGCGTGGGCCTCTGGGAAGCCGCGGACCAGGGAGCCGCCAGCAGCACTGCTCACGAGGCCGGGGTCGAGGGTTCCAGGGGCCGGCGACTCGGGGAGCGGTGCGGTCGTCGGCGGTTCGGGTGCAGAGGCGGGCCACGCTTCCCGATAGCGCTGCGCCGCGGGCGCGCGCCTCCTCCTCCTCCTCCCCCTCCTCCTCCTCTTCCTCCTCCTCCTCCTCCTCCTCCTCCTCCTCCTCCTCCTCCTCCTCCTCCTCCTCCTCCTCCTCCTCCTCCTCCTCCTCTTCCTCCTCCTCCTCCTCCTCATCTTCCTCCTCCTTCCCTCCTCCTCCTCCCCCTCCTCCTCCTCCTCCTCCTCCTCCTCCTCCTCCTCGTCCTCGTCCTTCTCCTCATTCTCCTCCTCCTAACCTCCTCCTCCTCCTCCTCCTCTTTCTTACCCTCCCCCTCCCCTCTCCTCCTCTCCCCTCCTCCTCCTCCTCCTCCTCCTCCTCCTCCTCCTCCTCCTCCTCCCCAGACAGAGCAAATGAGGGGCTCATGGGAGGGACTCCCAAGTGGGAGCCTCAGGGGAAGGATGCCCCAGGTGGGGTCCAAGAGCGATAAGAGGGCCCAGTTGGGGGCCCCATGAACAGGAAGCAGGAGCCCCAACCGAAGGGGGGGGGGGCTGGCGGGCAGTGTCGGCACGGAGGCCTTGGATCGTTATGCCCCGTCTTTGGCCGTGGAGCGTACGTCGGTGACCTTCCAGGGCCGCTCGGAGGCGCTGCAGGAGGAGGCTGCCTGAGATGTGGCGCGCGCAGGACGGCATAGG